GCCAGGGCAGCGGCCGCCTCGCACCTTCACTCCCACCCGTGACGCCCTTCACGGCGCCCACGGCTCGGCACCCTGGGCCACCCCGAGGAGCAGCCGCCAGCACCAGGGCATGGGGCACACGGGGCACTGGCAGCGCGCAGGGAGCACCAATGCGGATGTGGAAGGGCAGCTGCCTCACACCAGCAGCACTGACCGCGGATGGAGCACGYACCCGGCCGTGGTGGCTCCATCCCTGCCTCCCAGAAGCAGCTCTAGGGCCAGGCTCAGCTTAAAGCCTTTTTATTGGGAGGCACAATTAACCGCATAGGGGAACAGCTTTCTATTTGGTCAAATGGAATCATACTAGTTCAGAGAAGTCCGTGTGTTTTTAATGTTGATTTTAAGCATCTAAATTTAGCCTCCAGAGCCCTTGCTGCATTATAACCACTTTCTCTCCAAGAGACCCATTTGCAATGCAGTTTTTATTCCTGACAGTTGTTTCTGCAGTGCAGAGGGACTGGGCACTCTCCTCAGCGGAGCCCTCCGGGAGGAGAAGGGTGCAGGAGCACATGCAGGATGTCAGGGCTGAGCTCACCGGCGCTGCAGGACACGCTGGGGTCGGACAGGGGAACATGGGGGAAAGTCGCCCAGTGCCCCATGAACAAGGATGAGTTCAACCCGCAAGCCTTGGCCTAAGGTGAGATCCTGGCTTTGGAAAAGGCCAAACTACATCTGCAACCCAGCGTGCATCCCTGCTCCAAACCCAGTTTCGTAAACCAGCTTCCGGATGCGAGCAAACTGGTTTTACTTCAAAACGAGCGTTTAATTCCCCTCACAGTTACGGTTATAAAAGGCTCTCGGAAACCGTCGCCGCCGAGTTGGAGCAACGTCACCATGGTGATAACTAGGCAGCCTTAAGAGTCAACTTGAGACAATTCAGAAAAAATATCCCGTGACACAATCCTCCGAGTTAGCGCTGCAACRCGCTAATGTAAAAACTATATTTATTCCGGCGGCTTAAATCACAGCTTTAATCTAGGTTCCCCCCGGCATTTGAAATGCGACCCCACCGTATGGATTACCGAGGCTCTTGGCCGCGGGGAGCGGGGCAGYGGGTTGCTCTGCCGCATAGCACCGAGCTGAAGTCACGCTGCCCCRCAGCGCCCGTCGCAGCGGACAGGGGCCCGGGCCGGCCCTCGCCACAGCCAGCGGCATCCAGGGCCTCCGCTGGGTCCTTAATCCCCGTTCCACACCTGCAGGCTCTGGGAAGCTCCAAATCCCAGTTCCRTAGAAGAGGGGCTGCTAACACCGGCGAGACACTGTCACACATGTAGCAATGCACCCATAGGGAACACATGCCTTGCCCTCCGTTATTCCTCCTGCCCTTCCACTGGCTGCCGCAGAGGGGAAAGGAGGCAGAGAGGGGGAGGGAGGGAGATAATCTACCTCTTTCAGTAGCACAGAACCCTTTCTGAGGCCAAGGATCCCTAAGATCACTTGCTGTCGGGTGATCCAGGCTCGGAGAGCYTGGATACCAGGGCTTATCCCACACAATCAAGCAATACTGCAATCCCATCTAAGTTAAATTCAGGGAGCCTCTCGTGACTCATCCCCGTAAGCTACTTCATAGCGGACAGATCCAAGCAGATGACTCTCAGCTCTGCAATCTGGAAGGGCTGGAGAGCAAAGTTTGCCTCTTGCTGCCCTGCTAGACAGCATTTTTAGTCACTTGTTAAATTCTGTAAACCAGCACACAGCAGCTCATCGTGCACGTCATCAACTCGGAAATGTTGCTCCTTGAATTAATTGACATGAGGATGGGGGGAGGAGTTTCTTTTCTCTTTTCCAATATAACTCACATCCCCACAGATCCATTTTTAGAATAACACCGAAATCATTCACCCACCGCAGCCGAACGTGCACCGCCAGGAAAGCAGGAAGCGAGTTGCCAGGAAGCCCCTGCCCCAGGACAAGCATCACTATGGGAAATATCTGTTAAAATACCCCTTCCAGGTGAGGTGGTGCTGCACAACACTGCTAGCAGCGAGGCACAGCCGTCCCCTCCTTCCCTCCGGCTGCATCTCCTGCTCCCTGCTCCTCAGCCCCARCCCCTGGGGGCTGGAAAACGCCCGACTCCAAGGCTGGGATCAAGCCGCAGGGAATACACAGCATGCACAGGACACCCAAGCACATGCATGCAGAGATCCTCCCTCCCCATATTTGTATCTCGCTTCCATGACGTTCTGAGCTTCCTGATGCAATAAATAAACTAATAAATAAACTAAGCTGCTGCCGTATGACAACATACTGAAGTGACTGAACATGCTAATGCTCCTTGCAAAAGTATATTATTTTATTCTCTATAGTACATCCTTTTACTTGTAAAAGGATAGCTGAAGAGAGAAGTCAGCTTTTCAGTAGCAGTGTCAGAGGATAACGGCATCTGGTTGCCGTCACATCACTAGTGATAAATCCATAACAAAACTGTTTTCCCAAAGAGCTGCAAAATGAAAGATGTGAAATTACGATTTTCATAAGCCCAGAAGGAAGCTTTATCAAGATGAAGTTGGGCCACTTGGATGCAAGAGAAGCTGCATCGAGCAAGAGAAGTCAATCCAGCAGTTACGCAGCAAGACGAGGAAGGCGACCAAGAGCAAATCCGATCGGCACAAAATCCAGAGCCTCGACAGCCGCCAGCTCAGCCGCGGGGTTTATTCCACCTGGGCCCACGCACRGGGCATCGGCTCTGCAGGGAAGCTCCTTGGAGCAAAGGCTCCTCCAGCTGCGCTCGCTGTGACCCGAGGGCTGTGACCCAAGGGCCACGATCCCGCCGTGCCACCAGCGTGGGTGCTGCTCCGGCCTGGGATTCGTCAGGCCACCCCTTGGCTGCTCCCTTGAATTCTACATGCCCCGTCCCTTCCACGTAGGAGGCCTGCTGGCTTTCCTTGGACACGTCTTGGCAGCRCAGGCAGCCATGGAGCCCCCATCTGCCCTGTTTGCAAAGGGCACTCGCAACAGCTCTCCAGAATGGTTGAACGTTATACAGAAAAAGGGGGGAAAAAAAAAAAAGCATGGGATAAATCCTGCAGGCCAAGAGGCAGGAACGCAGACATCCGTGACCGTGCTGAGCRGACGGCCCTGCGAGGAGGGCCGAGGTGTTTGTGTCCATCTGCTGCCGGGCCACGACACGCAGCACGTCCCGGCCGGTCCCGCAGGCGGGATGGCTCCCGCTGCTCCCGGCACAGGGCCCGTGCCAGGAGCACCAGCCACGAGCCACAACTTGCACGGGAAGCCGCGGTCGCCATGGAAACGGCGCGCGTTGAAAAGGCGGCCTTGGAAAACAAAACCGAGGCGGGCAGATTGCATAGCCGGCCTGGACACGTTTACGCCCAGAAAAGGCAACGCGCGTGTGGAGCGTTGAACGCTGCCCAGCGGAGCCGGTTGTGCCAGGGGYGGCAAGGAGGCACCGCGGACACCCAGCGCCCAGCCTGCGTCTGCTGTCCCGAGCCCCAGGAGAAGCAGCTCTGTGCTCGGCCAAGGCTACGGAATCAAAACTCTGGGTTTYAGCCTCTTCCTGGCATCCCACCTCGCTCTAAATTGCTGCTATTAGCTGCATATTTCAGGTAGCTACACCAAATCCATCCATCTTGGCAAGCGGGAAATAGCTGGAATTCATCTGACACAGAAGATATGCAGTTATCTGTGGCTTTAAACATAACCAAAACTGAAAAATCATAAACAGATTTTTTTTCCTGAAAGAAACACACCAGAGAAATTATGAAACTTTGTTATTTGTTTTAAATGGAAAGTGCTTAGATCATCCTGTGTGGTCTAGTCRTGTAATATTCAGTCAACTATAATCTAACCTCTTAAAGAGCTTGTGCTTGAGTATTCAAGCACTCCATGATTAACTGATTATTACTAGTAGTGTGGGGATGGAAGGAGTCCTGACACTCGTGGTTCATTAATAATGTTATTAGTTAATACTTGCCTAGGTGGATGGCTGTGTTACTGATGGGATGCCCTTGTGTGACAGTCACTGTCTCCTTCACAACAGCTCCAAGCTGCCGTGGAAGCWGATTCCCTTCAGAAAAGGGAATTTTAACCTGGGAAACTGTTAGACTCAAACTTCTTYAAAAAAAATAGAGCCAAGTTTTGAAGAAGGCAATTTTCTGACTTTCTCTGGAACAGAGAAATGTTCTGCTGAAAAATGGTATTTCAGTGTGAAGAAATAGGAGAAATGTAAAAGTACAGTTTGTACCTTCTGCACAAATAGTACTGTCACACCTGCAGCAAAGAGAATACTAGAGGAAACCAGAGATAAATATGAACAAACAATGAGAGGGAAAGGAAAAGGCTTAAGAGGCAATTTGAGGGAKACAGAATAAAAACAAAAGGAATATGGGAAATAAAACTCAACGGTGCTTTGCAGGCTAAGAAGCTCTAATATCTGCTCCAATGGCTCCTGTGGGCTCAAGGCTGGTGATAACAGCAAAACCGAAACAGAACTCCTCTCTTCCTGAATCCTCTGCAAACAGATAAATACTGTTTTCAAATAAACACAATACCTCTGTTAAATTAGCGCTGTAAATTCTCAGTTCAAGTATTTTCGATAAGCTCCTGGTTGGGACTACCATGCTGTCCAAACAATCCTGGGCAGGAAGGCAGCCTCATAGCTGGGGAAAAGCCTTTGCAGTGACTTTTTTTAAAGAAGTTTAGTGCTTGCTCARATATAAAATTACTGTGTAAAGAACCTCCAAGTAATGATTCTGGAATTAAAAATCAGAACAAAACCAGGTATTTCCCATTCCAAATGTATGTTAAACTATGTTCAACTTCAACTAATACTGTTGAAAAGTAGGAGTTGAAAATTCCAAGTTGGCTGGTCCTCTAATGAAAACCAAGTGTTTAGTTAGCAAGAAGGGAAGCAAGGATCAGGGCTTCTTCAGTCTAACTTTGAGACTCCCACTTTGAGAAGCCTGAGCGTTACTTGCGCCAGGGAGGAACAAACCTGTGCCCGTGAGGGCAACGTCCCTGTGGAAGGATCTCCAGGGCAGCCGTGGGCTGGAATCCGCTGCTCCGGGCCGCTTCCTGCCCTTCCGGCAGGGCCGGAGGTCAGGATGTGCCAGCACCTGCCTGGGACCCATTTGGAAGGAGGAGGAGGAGGGGGCAGGAGGAAGGGCCCGCGTGGGGAAACACGAGCCGGGTGGCAGCTGCTGCAGCGCGGGAGCCGTGGGAGGACGGGAGCCGTGGGGGGACGGGGGCCGCGGGAGGACGGGGGCCGCGGGAGGACGGGGGCCGCGGGGGGACGGGAGCCGCGGGAGGACGGGAGCCGCGGGAGGACGGGAGCCGCGGGAGGACGGGAGCCGCGGGAGGACGGGGGCCGCGGGAGGACGGGGGCCGCGGGGGGACGGCAGGCGGCCGCTCTGGCACTCGGCACCGCCGGCTCCTCTGCGCACCACTGGCTCCTGCGAACCTTCCTCGTGTCCCCATTCCAAGGGAGCAAGGTAGGGACCAAACCTCAACTTGCTAGTGTGTTGAACTGAAAATGAGAAAGCGAAAATCTGTTTTTCTCCTACAAGAGCAGCCTCCTACCTGCAGGTGAGTGTCAGGCGTTCCCTGCAGGAAGCTGGGATGCAGTTCCCGCAGGTGCCGGGGGCTCTAACGGCTCCCGCRAGCCCCACCAGGTCCCGCTGCCCGACCTGGGAGCACGACCGCTCCTAGCAGAGCTCAGCTGAGCTCCCTCCTTCCCCCCGCCCAGGGCTGCTGCAGCGCGCGGCGCCTCTCCAACGTGCCCCAGGAAGCTCCCATCCCGGTCAAACGCTGCCTCGCTGGGACGCTGCTGCCCCTTGGGCAAGGGGAAACAGCCCGGGCATGGACTGCCCTTCTCGGACACACACACAGGGACAAAGCACCAGGGACAGCAGGGGGGCAGATGCCTGCCTGCTTCAACACTGATTCTCCGGAGACGCACCGCAGCGCCCAGACCTTAGCTTCACGCAGAGGGAACTACGGAAACATATTCTAAGGAGATATTTCCATAGGAACGGGGTTTAAAGCAAAGACATTATTAAGGGATGACACAGGTTTCCTAACAACAACCATTCACTGTAGAAGAATAAGCTATTGCAAAGGCTGAATGGGGCTTCAGGTAGTCAAGCTGCTATTAGATTTGAGACACAAAGATATGAGTCTGCCCAGTGCTAAGAGCACAGGAATTAAAATGACCCAACAGTCCTTCCTTTAGGTCACCAATACTAAAACATAGGCATAGCGGAGTATTAACAACTTGACATTCCTCAGGTAACTATTTTAATCTGCAGCAAATGCTAAGTTGGACTTCTGCTAGACACCAACTTATTCTCAAGTGAAAAGGGACATTAACTTACTTCACRAAGTTGCTGTGCTACAAGGTGTCCCTTCGTGTGCAAAGTACGGCTGCTTCAGGCAGAACGTGAGCACATCCCAAACCTGTGCTTTGGTCCTGCACAAATATGGATGCTCCTTAAGCGCAGTGATAACTTAACCGTGGAGATGGTCAGCTGTTGACTGCTTCTCTACATAAGCAGAAATTTAAGAGCTATCCTCACAATAGCATTCTTTAACACKGTATGAAATGTCCTAGCAACATTTCGGTAGGAGCACCAGCCTAGCACTGGCTTACAGGGTGGTTATACTGATTTAAGTCCCAAATTTTTGGGACAATCCTTCCGGGTGTCCAGCTTTGTAGTACATGCCCAGTTATCATTTCCAGTTCCACATAATATCACTGGAAGTCATAGCTTAATTGTGCTAAAAAGAAATGCACAGCAAGAAATTAAGAATCCATTAACAAATTCYGAAAGCAGCATTTTGCTTCTCTTGGCCTCTGTTTTCCTGCCCATGACAGTTTTAAGCCACCAGGGATAGAAAACTTAATACTCAAGAAATGGGCAACCTGGGCCTGACCAGTGAGACCTGGCTAAGGAGTTTCCGTTCCTTACCCTTTTCTGTCCTGTATGCATGGATAAAATAGGACAAAATTTGACTGTAGAGTGTATAGCAGAGGGAAGCCTTGATCTTCCATTACTTAGCACTGGTATAATTCAAAAAATGATATGAATTATAAAATTGATTCCTTTGTTGGAAAAGACCTTGCAACCTACAAGTGAAAAGCAAGGCCCTAGTTCTTGGTGATGTTATTAACACTCAAGAGACCATCCTGAAGTGCAGCTTTCTCATTTCTGTGCACACAGCACACACAGAGCAGGCTTTACATACAGAAATCCCGTCCTGACTTGGCTGGGAAAACAAACCACTGCTAGAGGAGAAAGTGAAGACAAGGGAAGGTGCAAAAATAATGGCTCACTGAATCTTTCTGCTCCGATCGGTATCTCTCAGATCTTTAATTTCAGGTGTTTTGGGTTCTTGCAAGATTGCTCATTATTCATTCTCAAAGGCTGCAATTTAGCAGCATCTGATACCGTATCACTTCTGAAGACAAAACAGCACCGTCCATATAACACAGCAAGCTTCTGATTGTCAAAGATCTTCACAAAATCCATTCTTCTCTTCATCAGATATGACAGACCTCTGCTTCTGTAAGGCTTCCTTTAAATTTGTAGCAAGTCTGGGGTTCTGGATCAGCTTTGAGTTTATAGACAATATTGCATGAAGAACCGTCTCTTCAATATCAAGTTCCCTCGGATTCTGGATAAATGATCCTAAATGTCAAGTTTATCCGTGCATCCCTGGAATGATATTCCTTAGGTACTCGATGCTGTGACAGTACAAAGAACAGAATAGAGCAAAAAAAACCAAAAGCATAAGCATGTGTTTTTAAAACACAGGATAAATCATACAACAACAAAAACACGTATCCATTTCCTGCGACAGGGTTTTTACTAACTTTTCTAAACACTAGGGCGAGGCAAAAAAATCACGTTCCAACTGCTCAGGGCCACAGAAAACAAAAGGTCTTTGTTAATTACTGCAAGGCTGCAAAATGAAATTGCAACTTTTCCAGTTCCTAAATTATTTTTACTCTTTCAGCTGCATGCTGAAACCTTCATCACCGAGTTTAAAAAATGCTCAAACATCTGCATATGAGCTGATTCCCACCATACCAATTAGTGCTGGAAGGAAAAATCCATTGTTTTGGTGAGTGCTTTGAAATTCTGAGGTGAAGAGCAACCTCAATGTGTTGTGAAATCTTGTATTASTGCAAGCAGAATGTCCCACGGTTCTAAGGGAGCACCTTGTGCATATTTAGAAAGCTGTAGTGCAAGTAAAGCACATGAACAAAATTCTTACCTGCCAGTCTGCCTGGGTAGCCCCTTCCATCATCAGCAGAGTGCCATGATCAAGAGGGATTCGTAGTCTTTCAACGTAAGTATAATCTTCATTCTCTTCCTAACAAATAAAAGGARGTGGGATACAGAAGCGTACACAGATACAGAAGTGGGCAAGTGCATTTGGTAGAAAACCAGTCCCCTTCAGCACTGCTTAAAATATTGGGAGGGGAGAGAAAGAAACGAGTAAGATGAGAAAGCCTAACTAAACCACTCTGCAACTGCATTTCATGCAGATGTCAGGAGCTGAGCGCTTAAAGCATCTCACAGATTGTACAACAAAGTTCAACAACTGACTCCTCTGCACAGTGCAGAATTCTGGACTGAGACAACCAATCTTTCAGACACAGTCACTCTTCACTTGAAGGGTTCTGTGTGGAGACATTCTGCAGTAACAGCCATTATGCCAGYGGTTAGCTGCCTCATCAAAAATACGCATCTTCTTTCTAATCTGAAATAGCCTTGTTTCAGGTTCCAGACTTGAGATTTTGGTTAGAATTTTCTGACAGACAAAGCAAAAACTCTGATAAAAAAATAGTCTCCTACAGTAACTTGTCAAGTTTTCTAAAGCTTTCTCATTGTCAAGTAAAGCAAAGTTTAAAGTTTAAGGCAAAATAACCTAGAAAATACTAACCATTTGCAAAAACCTTCAAATTASCTCCAATATTTTTAAAGCAAAAGTATCATGATTGGACGTAGCAACACTGCCATATTAGCTTCACAGATGCCACAGGGAGGAAACAGTAACTCTCCCTTCTCTGCAGTATCCCTTTTATTTTTAATTTCTAGGAAGCCACATACAGCCTGAAATAACAAACTGTAGTAAATGTCCTCCAGTGAAACACGACGAACACTCAGTCCCCATGGACTGGACTGGACTTGCAGCTCTGAGTGAGCTACATACAGTGAACAGAGAGCCTGAAATGAGTTTGGTTGGAGTTAGATCAGTTCCCAATAGTGACAAGCACTGCTTGATAGAACTGGCTTAGCACCTGTGCCTTTTTCTGTTCATGTCCAGGACTAGGTATTTGCCACATAGTGACAGAATGAGGCTACTCATTTACTGCTAGGACAACTGCCAGCATTGGCTGCAAATACTGCATTTGTGCTCCTCTTGGTGATGCTCAAAAGCTTGAGGCTGTTCCAGCAGTAAAACTCACTGAATTTTGAAATCAGTGAGTGCTGAAAGGATTCAGGATCATGCCTAATATTTTCTTGGTAATGACCATGTCCTTTGCAAAACATTTCAAAGTTTCTGGAATTTTTAGCCATTTATCTTGCTCTATTAGAAAGAATGCCAAAAATGCTTTCTTAAAATTCAGAGCAAACTAACAGAAAATTGCGAAAACAGGTATCAAAAAACATGACTTCTGACGAAGAGCAGAGAAATATCGGTGCAGGCTTGGTTTTGATTTCACAGGATTACATCATTTCCATCTGCAGCCAGACAACAGTGAACTCTATATCTGCTCATCCTGATTGAAAGGAAACTTCTGAGCAAGTGATTTAGGAGACACTACGCTTTGAGTTCGAAAAGCTAGCATGTAAAAACACCATTTTCTACCCATTTTATATTGGACATCTCAGAGTTGAGTTTAACTTAGGAGGAGGAAAAAAAAAAAGAGAAAGAGTTTGTCAGTTATTCAGAACAAGTAAAGTTAGAGACAAAGAGTTTAGTCTACCTCACATGTGATAACTTATGCTATCCACCAAAACCTGATTTCAGAACKTTCAGTGCTGGAGCCCGTGTTAAGCATATGAGAAACCCAATTGGATTTCAGAATTCAAAGTTTATTCCTGACCTCTAAAGAGCAAAGCCTATCTCTTGAGAAAAAGAGCTGCTTCCAGCACAGAGGTGCAATAAAGCAACTGGCCTGCTTCTTAGTGTACGAGAACTTTACTCTGATAATTGATTTACACATTTAATACAATCTAAATTGTATGTTGCCTAAGTAAACTCATTAAAAATATATATTTTTTAATTCTTTTTCAAGTAACCATGGCCAACAAGTCACGAAAACTAGTGTTTAGCTGACAGGAAGCAGTGAATATAATATTTAAAATGATTCCTGGGCTTCTGCCTCAAGTTTCATTGATGCCATTCTGAAAGGATTTACCCCGCTTGTCCTGATTCTAGTTTCAGCTTTTACTGTGCTTCTTATACCGTCATATTCTTCCCAAATAACTCCTATTAGGACATCACAGGTTATTTTCCTGTTTGTGTCTGAAAGCACAAGGAGATGTTTATCTCCTGCGAGATCAGCTACCCAAGGCCACGAAAAGGACCCGGATTTTGTGTTTCATTTGAAGGAGCCCCACGTGAAGGCTGATTCTGAGCACAGCACGAGCACCCTGCTGTGACCTAACACAGACACCAACCCACCCAACACCCCCAGCCCACCGTGTCCCTGGCTCCTGAGGGCAGAACAGCAGCTTTACAGCTGTTTGGCTGCACTCACAGCTGGCGCTGCAGTTAGCTGGGCAGTCGCATCTAACCCATCCTTACGGCACCGACCTGGCACTGCAGGATGGCTCCAAGGGGCACGCAGGAGCCTACCAAAATGCCAGATACAGCCCCTGCCCTTTAACTAGGTTTTGACACTCGCTTGCCCTAAGGATCTAATCAAAAAAGCTGGCACCTTTCAGGTTAAGCAGTGAGAGGCAGCAGGATAAATGACAGTGAGATTCTGTGAAAGGTCTGTGTAACACGGTGAAATCAGCCACCCTCCTGTTAAGCCACGTCAAACGGGAGCCTTGGGGCAAACTGGAGACGGGCCCGGCGATGGGAGAGGGGACAGGTTATGCTGTTAGAAAGAGCAGCAGGACTTGCTGACTAACCCACCAGCGCGTGGAGGGCGTGTGAGTCACAGCTYCGGAGCAGCACGGCCACCTCCTGGCGCCAGCGCAGCCCGGCGAGGCGGGATCTGCTACACAGCCTGCCAGAAAAGGCTGCCAGCGAGCACAGCCAAAGCTCCTAGCAGCTCCATGGGAAAGCTTCCTAGCAGGTCTAGTTGGGGATCCGCTTCTGAAAGGCATCTGGTGTGTTTTGACTGGCACTGGGCTGAATCCATGTGGGAATCAGCGCTGCTAAGCCCCAAGTGACGCTTGCGATGGGGATCTCGGAGAGGCGCTTCTCCGAGCTCCTCCACTGCCTCCCACCTAACGTGCACTTGGGCACGTGGCACCCTCACTTGAGAACTGCTTACAGGGGAAAACAGCTTGCACCCAGATACCATTTTCCTTTTTTTTTTTTTTTTTTTTTTGCCACAAAAGCATACATGGAAAGGGAAAAAAAAAAAAAAGGCTTCCTTTTGCAATATGGTGGTCCACATAAACTGAAGTCCAATTCCTACCAGACAAACATCAAAACCTTCCATACATGCTGCCAAAAACAGTCAGCATGGTCTTCCCTGCAGTTTTCTCAGAAAAAAATAGGCATTTAATTCCTAGATTAGTAGCTATACATTTCAAGACATAATAAATATTTGCATGGTTGCTAATGTAAATTGCAGTGTCCAAAACCCCAGGCTAACACTGTTCAAAAGCTCTGTGGGATCCTATCCAACTAGTTGCACATGCTCTTTTGCACCYAGAACTTTACCAGAGGTGTTTAGGYTTTTTTTCTGCTGTATCATTCAGGCAGGATGATTCTCTACCACAATATTTATCATCCTGTGTTTTCATGGCACATTTCAGTTCAAAATACTTAATAGGACTTAGAAGAATAGCTATAGAGAGACGAAGGCCTTCAAAGCTCTCAAATCTAAGTAATCAGAGCTTTGGCCTGCTGAATTTTGAGAGAAAAAAAAAATGATGTAGTCTCTCCTTCCTTCCTTAGTGAAAACTAATTCTTGAGGATGTGATGCACTAAAACTGACAGATTACACACCAGAGAGCCTGAATGCTGGAGATGACTCTTAACCTGAACCCGCTTGTCCCTAAGACTCCATCCCTCTTGCTGTAGCTTCAAGTATCTACAATCAGTGCTTAGTTTGTCTCAAAGAAAGAGAGAACGGTGTGTTGTGATGGAGTATAAAAATTATTTCTTTAGTGGTACAGCCTGAAAGGTGGTAATTTCCATCAGAAACTCCTGCAACTCCCACTTGGCAGAGCTATCCTAGTGTCATAGGATGCTCTCAGGAAAATTATAGGCTTCTGGAAAGTGCAAAGAATATCTAATATTTGCTGTATAATTAAGTACAAGTTCCCTTCAGGCACAGGATACAGTTAATAGCACTTTGTTCAAAGATGACTCTGCACATGGTGATCACACCTCAGAAACAGGTATGTCGCTTGCAGAAGGAACATACGTCACGTTCAACGACACTGAGCTGGTCAGAAGTATTAGGCAAAACACGCTGAGGACACTTAAGGAGCATTTCTGTAGGAAATTGTCCACCTGAGACCCCAAAAAGGAAAAAATCATGCAGTGCGTGTTAGGCAAGGTGGCCAGTTACTAAAGGCTCGGGCTGAATTCTCCCCTGKGCTCATAGTGGGTTCATTTTCAGGAAATATAAACTGGAACAAATTAAGAACTGAGTCCTGCTTTCAGAGGTAAAGTACCAAGTTTGTACTGAAATCTAACTGGCCTTGATTCTGATCCATCCAGAGGGAACACATGCACTTCTAGAAAGGAATCCAAGCACCCCTGGCAGCTTCCCACTGGAGTGAACTTTCCTGCTGACCCTTGGCTATTGTTACAACGTCAAGGATGTTTACCCACACTCTGCCCACCGAGGCAAGACACTGGTTACAAGAGCTCATGTGTTCAGCATAAAACTCGCCACAGGCAACAAGGACGTAACAAACTAAGAAAGGAAGAACCGGTAAAAAATATGAATTATTTGCTTCTTTGATTCAAGTTGTAACCTTTGCTGTTCACGAGTGATCCAAAGTAATTCTTGATGGGTAAATCTTATTACCTCAGTACACCGGCATGTCTCTAGTAGTCTGATAATCTACACACTTGTTTTCTGCATCAATTCATTCAAAGTAAACAGAAGCATAAGCAGATAAACTTAACAATTCYGCCTTTTCAGATATACACACACATATATATACATTAAAAAAGGAACACTTCTCACCATTGAAGTTCACAATAACTAGGCTATTAAGTGACACAAGACATGCAAAAAAGCCATCCAAAGCAGGATGCCCTGCTTGGATAATCGTAAGTTACAAGATGAAAGCCTTAAGCTGTCTTAGAACATAGTATTCCCTAAAAGATCATTTTTATCTAGCAAGAGTATTCTCTATTGAATAACCACCTAACTCCTGAAAGGAGGTTCCACGTGTCCCTATAAAAGTCAGGATCTCTGTTTAGTGTGTGAAGTAGGACACAACAGCTCAATACTTTAGGGAAAGACATCAGCTCTTCTTTCCCTCTGCTCACTGTCTCAGTCCTAACACAGACATCCTGGAAGGCAAGTAGGATTCCAACTAAGAGGATTCCAAGAGCCAGCAATAGTCAGAGTTACTCTTCATCCCACATACTGATGCCAAGATGAGGATATCAACTCTGTGCTCAGCTACACAGTGAAAGCGTCCTCCTAGTTCTGGTCAGGGTGCTTGGAAGTACTCATGGGGAATATCACTAATTTCTCTTTAATTAACTGTCAAGGCCATTACTGTGGCAGAAGAATCCCTGGATTGCAGTTTCACTGCAGCATTCCCTGGCTGCACGTGACCATACAGCTGTTTCCCTCCAAACCTGAAGATCTCATGTTCTGTAACACACSTCCTGTGCTTATTTCACAAAACCAATGCTGCACTTACAGTAACTACTAACACTCCTTCAGTACTTTTAGTAATTACCAAGTTTTCTAGAGAGAGGAGAAAACACTGCCTGGGTTACCGGTTACGGGGCTCACAGTGACCTGGGCACTCACAGGGGAGGGCTTCTTCCTCATCTCGAACACGCGGCTGGCCCCCAAGCTGAGCGAGGCGATGACGGGGTTCCTGCCCAGGGCGGGCTCGTCGTCGCTGTGCCACTCCACGCCGTCCCTCTCGCTCCGGTAGAGGTTGCAGAGCAGCGAGTTGAAGGTGCGCCCGCTGAACTCCTCCACGCGCCCCTTGAGCAGGGCCAGCAGGGGATGCCACTGCGGCCGGCACCGGGAGAAACACCACCCTGTTATCCTCTGGGGACCATCTTTCACAACAGCAGACACAAAGTGAGGAACAAAGCATGCAGCACTCTCACCACAACGAACCTCACGTCAAACAAATGACTCTGAACAATTTTGATATATTTTCAGCATAGGTGAGGACCAGGCTTTCTGCCAGATTTGCCTATGGCTTAATACCAAATCATCTCTTAAAGACATGAAAMCAGGGTGTCCTTCGTACAAACATGCCAAGCTACGCCAGTTAAACGTGTTGAGAGTAAAATCTGCTTGAACTGCCCATGGAAAAAACACTGGGACTTCTTACCTGGGACAAGACGTATAGGACTTCTCCTACGAACACCTACATTTTTAATCTCCCAGGCAAGGTCTGCTACTATCTGAGTGACATGAGCTGTCGCTGGTGGACACAATGCACCAAGAAAGCAGGAATAGGTGACTCAGTGACACGCTGAGCTGCCTGCAGCTGCTGACCCAGAGGAAGAGAGAACAGGCGGCTTAAAACTGTCATAGCAGAGGCCTCTGTTCCCAGCTCTGCTAGCACTGCTTGCTCAGCCCAACTCATCATCTCTTAGGGTAGTGCCGAGAACATTTTAAACTTTCAGTGATTCAAAAAATGAGTGATGCGGATCCAACTCTCATCCTTTCCTTTGGCAACACATTGCTGCATCCATAATCYATGGCAGCTATGCACGTTATATTATAACTCAGTCAAGTGAATCATATTTAATACTATAAACCTGCAGCAATTGAAGTCATTTTGTTATGAAATGTCAGGACCAACTACATCACTGCTCAAAAAGAAGTGTATTTTTAATACCAAAATTCTTCTAAGCACCCTCACTGGATTATACTTAGCAGTGCTACCATCACATCCAGTATTAAACAAAAAAAATCCACAACCAACCCCCAACCTCCCCTTTAAAAAATAAAGAGGGAAAGAAGGAGGGAAGAGGCATGGGCAGAAAGACATCAAATGCTAGTTGTTCCTGCAGATCTCACGTTCAGGGCAGGTAACTGGCTTTGGCCAAGCTGTGCTTTAAACTACATTTGCTTCCCCTTAGCCTCTTTTTGTGATATACAGCTACTCTACGGGTAAGGATTGTGCTCTTTATGCCACCTGCTGTTTCTTCTAGGCTGCAGAAACTTCCATCTACAAAGCAGAGTAAAACATCAGGGTGCCTGCAGGCGACCTGTGCCATATATTGATCTCTGGGCAGTGTCTAGACCTTGACAGAGCTAGTTTCCAGCTATGAGTTTGCCAGCGCATCTCACATTTTGCTCGAGTTGCCTTCTCCAAATAAAAAGAAGGGGGAGATAAAAGTCTAAATAAACGCACATGGCTGATACAGACCGTGTATCTTTCAGATGAGGGGGAAAAAAAGGCAGTGGCCCAGAGAGTACCAATTCTGATTTTTTTGCAAATTGGATTGCAATTGTGAATTTAGGGGATATATATTCCAGTCAACCTCTGAAAAACAATGGCTTTATCTTTCCACCAAAAATTTTGCAGGCTTTCAACTASAGAATCCAATTCCAACTATAGAATCTTCACAACTCCTCTTGTTACGCCATGGCCTCCCACTTCTCTCAAACTTGGCTTTAGCAGTGAGGGGCAGGCTCCGGTAGCACACCTGGGAGTTGGACACTTCTGTCTCATGCCCCCCTGCCTTTACCGGTCACACTTAATTTATAGTTTGGGACATTGCAATCTACTGCCATGGAAATTCCAAACAAAGCAATACCAAGAGACATGGCAATGGGATAACAGGTTGGAAGCCAGAGAGATTGACACAACATGGACAAAATGTCAGCAAGTCAGTTAGAAGGGAGGTTTCTGAGCCTTCCAAAATAGCGAGGGAATTTACACACTACAGTTTGGAGCTGCTGGACAGGCAGGTCATGTGTGTGAATCCCAACAGTTCACACTGGGATCAACAAAACATCTACGTTCTCAATGAAGCAATATCACTTCAAGTGTTTTGGTAAAAAAAAAAATTAGTAATTAATGTTATTGTGTCTTTAAAATAAAAAAGGCAATATGCCTTTGTGGACTGCAATCTCCAATAGAAAGATGCACAAATAAGGCAAATCAGACAATTAAGAGATTTGTCAAAACTACAGTGATCCAACGGCAGAACTTTGAACCAGTGWTAACTTGCTGTCTCTTTTAACCCCATGCTCCTACCAATCGATCTGCTTGTAACACTTTYTTTCTATAAAGCACATTCCACTAGCATCTATCCTGTTCAACTAGCATCTGTTGCTGATCAAAAATGAGATTCAAATAGCAACTCTACACAGAAATAGAATAGAGGGCATTTTTCTCTCTCAATCTCTGTGAAGGGCTTATTTGTATATTGTAAAAATAAGACACTGCAAACGCATATACCTACGTTAGGGTTTGGCTGCATTGTCAACCTGGAGTACGTGTAAGGAAGTTCCCCATACCAGCAGGTAAGTCTCGGCTCCTCAAAGGATACCTCTAAAATATAAAAACGGTATTAGCTTCTCAGTTGTCTTATCAAAGGTCTTGAAAAGAAAAGGATACCAATCTTCAAGAAATGTAATCGAAGATATTCAACAAGGGTCCGCACACACAGCTACAGTTAAAGGTACATCATGAAACTGAAGTTTCATTTATAATTCAGTGTTGCTTAATATATTTCTGGTTGCAGTGCTTAATAAATTAGCATCACCCGCATCCACGAGAAAGGATGGCTGGAAAGGATTGCAACATCAGTGCAAAATGAGGGTATTACAGAAGCAGAATGCAGCAAGGTCTGGCAAGTAACACTTCTGCCAAYATATGTTGCGGTAGAAAACAGCAGAGACAAGTACTTTTAACTTCTTAAATGACTGTCTTGGTTGCTGTTTCTCATATTTGATGGGTAACATTCCCAACTGCATATTGCTTTTGTCACAACCAAGCAAATATAGATGTTGAAAAATTTTATCACCTGTGTCTGGCAGCTATTCCTGTTCCTGACTAAACAGGCGATTTGGCTCCAACAGGTGCCCCTTAGTGCACACATCAGGAATAGCAGCCTCTTCACTTAATGCACAGTGGAAGTAACAAGTCAAGAGAAGGGTAAAGAAACATGCTCTTCTGGGATGTTAATCGAGAGAGGCAAAAACTATTTCTGGTGACAAGAATCTCCAAGAGTACAGTTTTTTACAACATCACTAGGAAACAGTATGAAGAGGTGGAACAGAGGAAAAAAATAGGAAAAAGAACTAGAAGAACTAGAGGGATGACCGAAGAGGCAATCAAATTCAAGGATTATTAAGACACRTAGGCAATTTTCATTTGAATTTAGAAAGACCTGGTCTAATTAGCAATATGAACATGGTGATACAGATTAGAAAAAYGAGCAGCAGCACTCTGCAAATATGCATGGAAAACAACCAAACAAAACAGAAAAGAAGCACATGAAGGAATGGCAATAGATACAATGGAAAATAGTGGTAGATCCTACATAGGTTTTGGTGCAGAAATAACCTGGGAATGACCTGAAGAGCCAGTGCATGCACCCTTACCCTGTCTGACATGAGTTCTCTGGCGCCAGGGTATCTCTTGGAGGAGCTGTTCAAATATCCAGTCTGCTTCTTCTGAGTCAATAAAGCCAGGAATCAACTGAATCCTAAGAAAGAAGAGCTACAAGTAAAGAAAAGGAAGGAAGGATATCCACTTCTGTACAGGTTTGAAGCACAGACTATGATACCAGCTACTGATGGGTCTTCTCCCTCAACTAAGCATGTCCAATTGCTTCTTGAACTATAAAAACATATCAACAGTAGCAACAAGACTCACAATCAGCTATGCATTGTGCAAAAAGCCACAGCATTCTTGCACTTGTTTTTAAATCCCTACCCTAAGAAAAAAAAGGAAAGTTATTAATATATAAAAAATATTTTAAAATTCTATATCCTTGTCTTTTTCAGTTCTTCTAAAGACGGGTATATAAACAAAAAATGTAAACTGCAATGAGAAGCATCCAAAAATTCTGGCCATGGTATTTCATTTTGTGGCATGGACTCAACATCTGTGAGGTAAGTATTCAACACTCCAAAGAAATTCAAGCAAGAATAGCTAAAAGATATGCAAAATTTGGCTAACTTGCCAGGAATGTGCATATGTTAGCAACATACTATACACACAATTCTAAAATTCATATTAGAATTGTAGAAATGCTGAAAAACCAAGGTGGCTGCTCATTTGTCTTTTCCAATTTGGTCAAAAGTTTCACTWTTTAAATTGGTAAATTAAGACTTCTTCACAGTTTCAAAACAAGCCAAATTTACATCTAGAAGTTTTGGTAGCTCTTAACTATAAAACACAGACACGATGCACTTGCTAACAACCCAAACTTGAAGCAGTAGCTTACCCTGGAGCATGAAACAAAATGAACAAAGCTACTTTTCATTATTCCTTGCAAAAACACCAGCAGGAGTGTGCAATAACTATTATACAGGTTCTCTGTTGTCCTCTTCTATGCTGCTCAGATCTTTSTAAGTCAAATATTGATATTTATAAGTCAAATATTTATATTCAAAATACTTCCAGCTGCTACCTGGTATCAAAGCACTTCCAGATTTACTCTAAACAAAAAATACAAGGGGTCAAGGGGATAACCCACGGCTGCTAGAGTCAACATATCCCCTCTTGGAGATAGTAGGTTTCAGAGTGCCACGTATCACTGCAGCAACAAATAGGAAGCTCAAAAAGCAGGTGTAATCCACTTACTTAGAAATGCCCGTTGGTAACACGCTCAGTTCATACACACCAGGTTTGCTGAGGATGTAGAAAAGAAATAGCCATCAGATGAACAAACCACATGAGATGCTCTTACGGCTGGGCTTGAATTGCTGAAAGCCTGCACCTGGGAAGGGAAGGGAAGGGAAGGAGGAAAAAAAAAAAAAAAAAGCTTTGTGCTGCTAAAGGGAGCCAGTGTTCTGAAGCACCAGTCAGAGGTCAGAGCAAGGCAGCAAGGGAGGGGAGAGAAGCCAAGGAGCTGTGTGTTCTTCCTGCCGCTCACTCTTTTGCTTTCTCTTCATCAAAGGCTCCAAACACAGTTTTAGGGCTCTAGAGACAACTGAGAGATGTCGTTAGTCTTCTAAAACCAACAAGCATGGAGACTGCGCTCTGTTCAAGACATTATGTTTGCGTTTATAGGTATGCTTACAGCTYGGGTCTCACTGAAGAGGCAAAACCCACAGCGTTTAGTGAGAAGAGAGGTACCATCACTCTGCTAGCACGGCAAAGTGTTCATCAGGCTACGTGCCACAGAGACCAGACTACAGGTAAGTGAGTAACTACTAACTGCTGTAGCTGATACAGCAGAAAAATCCTCTTCCCTCTGTTGAGGCTGCATACCTGTGAAGCACCACCCACGCTTACACTAACTGCTTCCTTCACCTACTGTCTCATTTTCCTCCTAAGATAGCTCCAAACTTCACACTGCTCTTTCTGCCTAGATCCATTAAGTAATATATCACTATCCACACTCAACAGACTTCCACAAACTGTATTTTATGCTGTGCTATGTTTAAGGAAGGTGGATAAGCAGAAACTTCTGGGATCTCTGCCGTGCCACACATACATTCAGAGCATGAATCACACTGAATTACCTACAGCATATTGTGGGGACTAGAATAGCACCAGTGCTTTGAGGGGTCAGTGAACTTTCAGAACACTTTTCAACAACACTGAATTTACCTGAATATAACATTATTCCTACTAATTACAGAAAAAAAAAAAAAAAAAAAAGAAAAAGAACATATAACTTTATTACTCACACCAAAATGGAAAGTTAGAACATAAGAATATAACCAACAGTAAGCACTTCTGCCATATTCTGAAACTATTCCTAGCAATTTTTTTTCAGGCTACAGCATATGAATATCTGACTTCACTATGACACTTACTAGCACTAGTGTTTTCCTGGTCCTTCCAAGTAAGTGCTGTGAGCTGCCACACCRGCTATATTCATAGTTCACAGTAAGTAACGTTCAGTCTAGTTAACACAGACTATTCTAGAGAAGCGTCCATGACTAAGGAGGGGACACATTTGCTCACCTATTGTCCTGGAATGCCCAAGTGTTCTCTCTTCCTTGCTTATACAGCTACAAAGCTGCACAAACACAAGCCAGACAGACATGGACTCGCTGATTATGAAATGAGATCAGAATAAAAGGGCTGCAAGTGCAGACACCACACCTTGCACTGAAATTTCTTCCCAAAGGTATGGCAGCTATAAGTGAAAAAGGAGTCTTTYGAAGCAGTTTCCCACTGGAAAGCAGATTCCCAGTAGGACTGGAAAGCCACCAGACAGGCAGTTAAGGCAGCAGCGTGTACTCACTCTATCACACCCACATCAGGAACTTTGCGCCCCACCTGCAAGACAAGAAGACAGTAAGACATGTGAAAACTATACCTCTAAGTACTTGGTGTGCTCAGGTTCAACAGAGCTAACTGCCATCTGCAAAACCTCCTGAGAAGTGAGCAGTGCAGAAGCGAGGCCCGGGCCCACTCCAAGCAGAACAGGGAGGGCTTTTCGAGTACAGCCASCACTGAAATATCAGTAAGGAGGAGGTTTCCTGACAGTTCTGAAGTAGTGAAAAGCCCACTCAGAAATACTCAGACAACTACCACTCCAGGCAGAATTTAACTATCAATGCTCCACTATATCAAGGAAATGAGTTTCCAAGTTACTTGGATTATTACAATATGTGCTRTTTTTCAACTGCAATCAAAAAATACCTGTCCTCGCAGAGCAAATTAAAAGTCTATAGAAGGAAGCCTATAGAACGTAAAGAAAGGAAGAAAAAGGAAGTATAGAAAGGCTATAGTAAAACAAGTCTACAGAAGGAAGGAAGGAAGGGTGACCAATTTTCAAACCTTAAACAACAGACAAGAAACAAGACAGAGAAGGCAGCAAGAGCCGCTAGTTTTAAGTTCTTTGCCTAGCTAGATAGTGCTAGGCTTTGTAAAAGATTTTAATCTTTTTCACTAAAAAGAAATGAAAATATTGGATTCATCAAAGTTCAAATCCTGCCTAGAACATAGTACCATTTTGAATATTTACCTTTTTTTTTTCTTTTAGCTCCCCCCGTCAAAAAAAAGGTTATGAATACCTATTCATATGGAATTAATATTCAAAGCTCAAGACTGAACAGAGGGAGCACAACTTCCTTTAACACACATAAAAGATGGTTGCAAATTCTCCCTGGGATAAAAGCCCTCAGATGTGGATCACAGTTGAGTATTCCATTTGTTTTCAAATATTTAACCACAAAYTCAAAGACGTATAATTTTTCAGTTTATTTTCACGGTTTAACAAAAGATGACATTCTGCTAGTAACCACTTAAGTTTTTACCTCTAATGGCTTTTCAAAAACAAACTGCTTCTGAGTGCTTTGAGCCTGATCTTTTCTCATCCAGGCCTGTCTGGTGCCTTCAGGGGCAGGGTTCCTGGCCACAGCTCCTGCAGGTGCTGAAGTAATGAGGAAAAAGACAAAAAAAAAAGTTACATAAAATAGCTACATCATACAAGAAAAAATAGGTTAAAATACCAACATAAGGAAAGTGTAGCATCTATATTTGGAAGGACTTATGTAATCATTCTTTTGTTTTGAAGGATTCCCCTCTGCTTGGTAGTAATTTTAGGGAATTCAAGTTCAGATCTACATTACATAACATTTAAAAGTCTACACAGAACCTGGAATGAGCTTTTTTCTTTTTTAAATATTTGTTATTCATAGACATTCAAAAGTGAGAAAAGCTTTTCCCGCCAAACGGGTAAGTTTACTGTAAAGGCAGGCATTGCCTTAAGAGAGCTACACTAAGTTAAAAAACAGTGAAAAGAGCCGAAAACTTCACATTCATTATAAAAGAAATGAAAGTGTACAACTCAGTGTGTAACAGCACTAGGACGTATTACGATTCTATACGAGGCGTACACAGAATGTGCTCACAGTATAGAAGAGCTATAGGCTAAAGCCCTGCTAAATTTGCTAAACTGGAAGCTGAGGACTCCATACAAGCAGAGATGCTCCGTTTTCCAAGAAATGCAYGGCCAGCCCTGCTTCTTTTTTCCCCTTTTTCCCCAAGTGTGGCACTCTCGCCAGTCCATCCCTGAAGCTCAGTCAAACACAGGGACGCATGGAGGAGCTGGTTGCTCAGAGCTGGCCTGACTGCCGCTGGCTCCCTGCATTTGCCCCATGCCCCAATCCCCACCCTGCGGACGAGAGGGAGGAGAGGGGCCTGGGGACTCGTCTGCCTGCAGCCGGGGCCGCCCTGGGCGTTACGGGGGCTCCCTCAACACGGCGCGGCCTCCACCTCGACCCGCGCGCACGGCCGTTCAACCGACACCGGCCGTTCAACTGACATGGCTGCCGGCTCCCCCGCCCACCCCATCCCGTCCCGTCCATCCCAGCCTGTCCCGTGGCTCGCCTGGGGGCCGCGCGGCCGAGGCGCCGGCCCAGCCGCCCTGCACCCGCGCCCGCCGCCGCTTCTCTGCCATGGCACCGGCCCTGCCGGAAGGAAGCGCCCAGTGCGCCGCGTCCGCCGCCACCGCGGCCCGGCGCCGCCGTTCCGGCCATGGCGCCCGCCACCTTGTCCGTGTTTTATATGTGTTTTATATATGATACCTCATGCACGCAGCGGCGCCGGGTGCCAGTCCTGGGTTGCAGCTCCTCGCCGCCTTCATTGCCCCCCTTGCACAGGCCTTGCACTCTTACCTTTCCRAGCTCCTCCACCACTGACAAGCTCTTAGTGAGGAATATTCCTTAGCAATTGCTTATTTTGCTGTTCTGGTGGTGAAGTTCGGCACTCCCAGAGCCAGGGAAATGGGTCAATGGAAGGTCAGGATTGGTGATTTTAAATTACAACTCTTTCCAAGGGGCCAGTCACTCACATTGCAAGGAAGAAATCAACACATTAAATACTCAGAGTAAATYCAGTTTTATTCATTTCTGGTTTACAAAGACAGAGAACAGACAAGTTAGTCCAACGCTTCCGTATCGCCTCCAGAGCGTGCCAAGGAATGTGCTTTTACAGAATTAATAACACAGACCTCTCCATCCCTGTTCCAAAAATCAGGCAAACTCAGGGATAGGATCTGCACCTTGGTTTTCATCAGCACCATTGCATCGGTATTCATGTATTTTCAATGTACAGAAATGTTAGCCTCAAATCTTGTCCCAGTATAGCACATTTAACTTTAAAAATCAGAGTTTCAAGTTTTTCATCCAAGGATGGAAAACTACCTCCAGCGTTTACATCAGTGGCAGTCACCACAGAAAACAGTTATTTGCAATTTAAATTGTTTTGAAAGTTTTAGTACATTTTGCCTTTATAAAAGACTGTTAAGAGGCCAAAATCTTTATTTAAAGGAGCATGTAAATACAAACAGCAGTGCAGACTGACTTCTCATATATTCTGATCCCTACCTCCTGGAGTTGGATAATTTCAGCCTTACTGGAGAACTCCAGTTCTTCCAGTTGCAACAGAGCTACTAAACAAATGAGTTATTTTAAGTAGCTCAGTTATTTCATGCCACAAGCAAACAATTCCAATTTTCTCAATTCAGAAGCCCACAGCACTCGGACTAAGCTGACTGGTATAAGCAGCTCTTTTACATTTATAAAAGTTTTCTGATTCTAAGATTTTTTTTTCCCAGAGCTATTCCAAATATATTCAGGATTCTCATTTCTAAAGGCCTCGCCAGAAGTCAGACTGATACACACTTCAGGAAGTTTAACCACTTTTGCTAAAAAGGAGAGTTACTCATTTCAAGCTCTGCATTTCAAGTAGCAACGAATTTGTGCACAGCAACCACCCAGCAGCACACACCTTGTAACATTTATCTACATTGGGTCATCACCCTTGACTTAAAGAGCAGGCACTGAACTTTTTGAACTGTTATTACAAACCAAGATCACTTATTACTGCAAAGTTAGAATCCACATTAAAGAACCAAGAATGCAAATACTTTTAGTAATATTATTTTATGTATATATGTATAGATTAGGAATTAAACTCATGTATTTTGGCCCTTTCCCCTTCAGTTCATAATCACAAGTCATACTGAAGCCTTGAAGTTCAACCTATAYGATCAGTCCGACTTTGGTGCAAGAGCCTACTTCAGTGCAGTGGGTAAAGCTCCATGAAAAGGCTTCCAAAAACATCAGATTCACTTCAGAAGCTGGTGAATCTTTTTCAAGTTAAAGTAATTTAAAGCAATTTGCTTAACAGAGTAGCCTGAAATGCGGGCATTTTTGTTTCATGGACGGATTGGCCCCTGCATAGCCCAAAAGCTRTCCTGGAGCTCTCCTCCCCATGCCCTGTGACTGTGGGCTGCTTCCACTGACCCAACTGCATGGCCAGGGTGCAGCACTGACCATGCTGAGTGAGAGAAGATGTCCTAAACCTGAACTGCAAGAGTTACATTCTGTGCATAGTTGTCTTTTTAAATAAATACACTCTCTTCCCACTGCTTCCCACCTTTCCAGCAGTATGTAAGAGACAGAACTACTATTGCTCATCCCTTCACCAAGCACACAATGCACGGACTTCATGGACGCTACATAACCCAGCTGCTCCTCAAAAAGGCAATGTCTGATCAAGCCCATGTGAGTATTTTTTAAAGCACAGTGCAGTTTTAGTCTGAAGCGCTTTCCCCCAGCGTGTTTATAAACAAATAAAGCAAACCATATTGGAAATCAAGAATCCCACTTTGTCTGTATCCTCAAAACAAGACCATGTTTTGCCTTAGTAGAAAATACACCTACGTTCAAAGATATTTAAAACATTATATCTACTTGGTGCCGAAATGTGTGTAGAGAGCTCGCAGGTGTCCCAGGCTTCCAAGATCTAGTTGTCTGCAGCTTACTTTTCCTTCATTTTTTTCAAATAACGAGCACGTACTTGTTTGTTTGTTTTCATGAGTAAACTCATGGCAGCAGACGAAGGTAGGAGAGAGAAGATCCAGCCCTAAGAAGTGAAAGGGAAAGAAAAAAATRGCAGCGATTACAGCCAGTACTGTGCCAGCTCAAATCCGTTGCCAACACAAACATTATAAAATTATGATTAGAAGTTAAAGAACAAAAATAACTGTTTCAATACTCAAAACAACTTTGCACTTTTCTTCCTCGGTGAGCACACAGAACATACTGCAGCCTTACCCCCTGCAAGGTGACTTACCATGAGTGCATGGGGCAGGCAGCCGTTGGTCTGGGTCTGCAGACCTACTGTGCCCAAGGCGGCCCGTACGTACGTCTCAGGACTGGGCTTATCGAAGGTTGGCTTGCGGATTTTGGACATCTTGGTTGCCACGTAGTATGGCAGAACGCTCTGCATACGGGAAAAGAGCATTAAGCAGAGAACGCTTTTCAGCTTAACCTGTGGATTACTCACAGAACTAAAATCACTGAAAACCCAACAACCTGTAGATCCACTGGATTCTGCAGCATTAAACAGATTAAATTCTCATTTTAAGATCAGAATGTACAATACCAAAAATGCTCTTAATCAGAGATTGTGGGGACCATATTTGAGGAGTGAAGGATAGTTACAAGGTMTGCTGATGGTCAACACCCTCAGCTGGTGTCCTAGAAAAGCTGTTTTCACAGGAGTGTGGCTGAAAAACCTTTCTTAGGACTAGCCCTGCAAGGGTAAAACACCAGTCCAGCTGTTCAGCACAAAATGCTGTAGGGCTCCTTCCCTGTAGTAAACTGCCAATGTTGGCTGGGGAAGGAGGCGCAGAACTCGGTGAGACAGAGACTTTACACTTAAAGAGTTCCTGTATCTGGTACTTGGAGACAAGAACGGAAGGAGAGAGAGGTAAAAAATAACAAAAACCCAAGAGCCTTGGAACATTCAGCTCGTGATACTGCAGGAGGGCTCGGAGGATCCAAGAGGTTTTTAGTGTGGAMGAGCTCAAGGACTGAAGGAAAGACCAGGAGAGGGAGCACAGTTAACAGGCTTTTGTAGCAGTTTGGGAAGAAACAGGAAAAGTGATGGTGGGTCCTGGAATTATCTGGTCCTGGCATAATGGAAAAGCAAGAGGAGAAGGCAGGGGTGGGTATACTTTCGACAGAGGAAAACTGATAGCACAAATGGATGTTAGTGTTGGGGAAAACAGACAAAAGGGACTGAAACACCATATTCCCCGCTCATGCTAATGGAGAAGGGAAAGAGGACGAATGTGCACTCTCAACATTAGGAAGCAACCCTAAAAGCTGCACAAACAAGAAGCATCCTTAGGTCAGCTCACTTCTTTAGTAAGAACGTGCACTTCTTTCTATATCTAGGACTTAAAATACCAATAATATTACTGAATGAGTCCACTTTCAAATGGAGAAGTCACGGACTCCCAAATTTCAGAAATGTGTGCAATTACCATCACCTTTAAAGTAACCAAAAGCCACAAATACTTAGATAAGAAAGTCAGCTATGCTACTGTAATAGCATAGCTACCTACTACAGACTTCAGAACATATTTTTAGATTAAATTTCTAAATTGGCAAAGAAAAAAAGGCATTACTAAGGGTTTGATTTGGAAGYTTCTTATTCACTAGTTATTTATATCCCCAATATCCCCATATGCAGTGACATGATTACAGCCAAAACTTGCTTCCTTCCTGTCTTCGCCTAGTAAAATAGGGTCCCTTTATGACCTGTACTACCCAACTAAACCACCGGAGAGCAGGAACGGGAAGGCAATTGTATACGAGAGTATTTCAGAAAGCAAGAGTAACAGTAGCACTACTAGTTAGCTATTGCTCCTTTGCTTTTATGTCCAAGGTACAAAGGAACCTAAGTTTAAATTTCAGTTTTTACTCCTCAGTGCTCTCCAGAAAACTGGTACTTAATTTCAGAAACATAAGTTTTACCATATTCCTAATAATTGCACTGTATTTTAACAACTATGATTTTTTTTTTAAATTTCCCTTCCTTTGAGTTTTTTAAAGCTTTTTGTATCGAGGCAGATGTTACCCATACCACTGGGACAARGAACTGTAGAGACAGTTTCTTGCCTTTACCCACATAAGCAGCCCAGCCTGCTCTCAGCTTCAAAAAATGCCTTAAAGTACTTTTTGCCAATAYGATATCTCTTGTTCCCTTCAAAGACCTGCCAGCCCTTACCACTCTGACCCTTATGAAAACTCAGCTGCATTGGTGAAGGTTCTTGTACGGATGCAGGAAGCCAGGTCTTGGGATTTTTTTCCCCCCATATTCAAGGAACATAAAGTAAAAACTGTGAAAACWAGCTACTCTATCACTTACTCTATCCTGCTTTTAAAAGGCTCTTTTTAGAGCAGCTTTCTTCCCTTTCTCTGTGAGGAGAAGGGGTGAGGGACAAGGTGCATAAAGGGGAAGTGCAGAAATTGCAGCAGCCAACCYGCAACACTGTGTAGAGAAATGTGTAGAGAAAAGTGTGGAGAAAGATACTACCACTAGCTGCAAGTTTGGTGCCAGCACACTCCTGTGAACAGGTAGTGAGAGCATCTGGCCTATTTATGGTGGTGACAAGAAGGCTGGGAGTGACCCAGTATCTCCCTATAACTATTTCAAGGCCAGTTGTGCACATCACACTCAAACTCTTCTACTAGTGCCAAGTAAAGTAAAAGAGGCCAATCCATGTTGTACAAGAACAGACGCAGCACAAATTTTCACTCTTCCACTTGTACTGCATATAGTAACAAAGCACAGAGGGAGGTGTAACTGACAGAAGTTAGAAAGGGGAGTAAAATAAAATTGCAAAGAACAGGGCAGTACTTTCAGAAAATGAGAATAACATTTCAGAAGAGTCTACAGAATTTTTTCAGGAAAAGATTTTCTAAAAAACATCTTGAGAAGTCCTTGCAGTCGTCTTCATTCCTTATGACAGAATCACAGGATGCCTGAGGGACACCTGGAGATCACCTAGCCCAACCTTCCAGCTCAGCCCTTTTCATTCTTCCTTAACTTCTGCTACAGATCCACACCTCTTCCTCTGCACGCAAATAAACACAGAACTGAAACCTAAGCTATTGGAGTGCTGTTTCTGTAAAACCCAACCAACCTGTTACCTAGAAAGAGTGTTTTTTGAATTTAAAGATGAATTTAAACATTTCTATGAAAGCACTAATCAAAACTAAACTTCCACGGCGAGTGGCTGTACCGCATTTTTGCTTTTCCCAGTGGGATTCTGCAGGTTTGGGCATGCTAAGAGTTACCATTTCAAGTGGTGACCTTAACTGAATTTTAACAGTGCTTCTTTCTGAAGTTCGGAGAGATGAACTCTGAAGGGGACGCAGTCCTAAGGACACGAAGCAGATATGTCAGCTATCTTTACACAKAGGTCCTTGCAATATTCATTAGTGGTTTATGGGGGCTTAAGCTAGAACAMGAGTAGAAGGACATGGACTGCAATAAAATTAGCATATAACAGCTATTGGTCATCAGACCACATCACTCAGCACAGCTGTTCATCGTCTACATTTAGGGAGGAATAAGAGCAGTGTGATCAGGGACTGAGCAGCCTTAGCCAACACCCGAGAGTTAAAAAGTCAACTTATCACAGCCTATAGTTGCTGTAGTTACAAACCTGAATTTTGTACAGGAAAACATATTTGTAGATACAGAAAGACAGATTTTATCTTCATCTGTTTGGAACGTTTAATATGTTAGACACTGAACTGTTGTCTTTCTAGCTTTGGGCATAGAAAGCTGAAGTCTTTAATGTGCTATGGACATTCAGACTGTGTATTACATTCAAAGTGTTTGTGTTTAACACCACCAGCTCTGCATGAGTTAGTGGACTATTTTTCACTTTGCACTACCTATGAGAACTCCCTGACACAGATAGGAAGGACATGCTCCTACTTGGGTTTCCCCTCAGCCTGACAGAATATTCCGTGGGGAAGACTTAGGGAAAAAGAGAACAACTGGTTATGAATGCATGTGGGAACAACACCTCTCAAATGTAATGCTTTTCTCCTTGAAGGTTCTGGATATGCTCATGTTGAGGTAACTCTCAGCAGCTCTACCTGCTGCCAGAAAAAACAGAAAACAGAAGGATCTCAGACATCCTAACCCAACAAGAGGCTGAACAACTTCTCTTGGTCTCATAGCAAATTGAGCCCTTGGGAGTTCTTTGGGTTTTACAAAACACTATATAGGATACAGAGAGGCAAAGTAATAGGCATGGACATTGGCTAATTGTGTTCTGAAGAAAAAGCCTTATGGAATTAACAAGTGATATACAAGTGTCTTTAGTACAGGTAAGGCCTCACRTCATTCCAGGAAATTAAGTTCTATAAAGATGCATTCCACAGAATTACAGACAGGAAAAAAATATATGGAGTATTTCTTTCTTTAAGGTATAATTACCACCAGCAGCATTAAAAAAAAAAGTATACTCAGATGCATTGTTTTAGGGCAACTTCGGAAAACTGCTAGCAGAATCAAAGGAACTCCTTATCCTTAATCTGTTTCACATACTCATGAATAAGAATATGATGATTTCCTTTTGTTACCAAGACACCAATGTTGCTGTGGTAACCACACTTAAATGAAACAAATTCTACTCACCTGCACAATGATGCCCTTGCTCTTGTATTCTGCATGGAGGCCTCGGGAGAAGTAATCCACAAAAGCCTACAGAGAAAAGAAGGGAAATACACAGCAAGCTACGCATTAAAATGGAAACTAGCTTGTAGTGGTTTGCAGGCATATTTGAATTTCTATTTATAGCTGCTGTCTTCAAAAAGAAAAATTCTAATTTTCAAAGAAACTTTGTAGACTAGAGCAATACCACCTGAATAGAAATCCTAAGCTTTTCCCTAGTCCCGAAGTCCACTGAGACTATTTCTTTTCCAAAGTTTGAGAAGTTTGGGATATCACAAAAGCTGGAGTTGAAGAGTTAAGACAACTTAAAAGGCAGATGCCTGTACACATCGTCAAGACACCCTCACATGTGCTACAACCACCTCTGTAAATGGAGACCTAAGTGTTTTCTTCCCCATTATCACTTTCTCTAAAAGGAAAGGCTTGCCTTATGCCATGCTGAGGAATTAAAATCAACACAGCTCCTCTCCTCCAAGTCCATTTAAATCACCTTCTGATGGGACAAAACATGGGGTTCTAGGATCATGCCTTGTTTTAGTGAAGCAATACAGCCAAATACAATAAATTAAGTACTCTCCACTGAAGGGTCTAAAGCATTGCATCTATAACTAATGCCAAAATATGTAACAAATAATTCAAGTATCCAAAACAAAAAACAAACAAACAAAAAATAAAAGCAGCTCTAGAGAGAAAGGGCTGTTAAGAAGAGGAGCAGGCAGCCAGGCCTCTTGCACCTGTTCCACAATCCTCCTTTTTTGACTGTCACTCTTGGATTAACAAAAGTCCTATCTGAAACCAATGCTTTCAGTGTGCACATTCACTGTGTTTTCTATTTAGGAAGTTGAGCTACAGATCTTGCCTGAACACAAAGCAAAAAAATATTCCTGTGCTGCTGGGCTGTTTCTATATATAGTGTTCTGAGCATACACAAGATCTGAAGGAAAACTAGATCTTGCTGTGTAGCGAGGTACTTTTAATCTTCAGATTGCATGTACAAGCTAGAGGAAGGTTCACTGAGCCAGATAAGCTCATCATCTGTCCAACTGCTCTTTTCTTCTTCTCCTCTCTAGTATAAGTTCTTAATGAAATCCCGTTCTTAGCATCAGGTCTAATTGCTACAACTTCGGCAAACGAGTCATCCTCTTGTAACAGTAAAAGAAACTGCATACACTGCAGACTGTTTGGTGCAATACCTGAATACAGCTGCCAAATTTTCATTTGTGGTAAGGGCACACCATAGTATATTTAAAATCAATTATCTACCAAAAATAAATGAAAATAAACCTATATTCTGTAAATCAAAGTTGCTTTATCACTCAGAATTAAGTCCTGACTATTTCTACTTGCCTGGGAGTCCCGAAATCAATTGCTGCTTTTTCAAAAATGCAGGGCTATACAATGAGACTGTCATCTCTACTGTTAAAGAGGTCTGCCATACAGAAAGTTACATCTACACAAACCAGAACATTCACACCCTTTATTCCAATTTTTTTTTCCATGATGGATTTGTTGATCCAATGGACAAACAAATGGGATTTTTATTTGCCTCTAAGAGGTATGASTCCTCCAGTATCATCTACCTGTAACAGTCTTAGCAACATTCTCTAAATAATATCCTCTTACTAAACACCACATACTAAAATCGCTTTCTTCTCCTTGGATTTCCAATAACAAAACGAAATGTTTAAGACACAGAAGGAAGGAAATGTTTTTGACTTCTCACTAATATTAGCATAGATAGATAGGGAAGCCTGTTGAAAAATAAGAATATGTTTCCTTGAGAAAAAAAATCATTTCATTGTAAAATAYAGAATTCACCACAGGAAGGTTAAAAAGCTGGACTGTGTCTGTTCCTGACAATTAGCCAAAGCCATTGACTTAGGCCTGAAGGATATTATGGCTTAAAATCCGTTTATATTGATAGGGCGAAAAAAAAGAGAAATCGCAGATAGGCTTTCTATTGCTACATTAGGGGAGTCACTTTCATGCTTACTAATCTTGCTTTAGTAGAAGATGAGCGGTGCTGAGATTAGGCAGATTACTTACCCTGTAATTGAGTTTCTCGGAGAGGAAGGGAGGAACATATTTGAGGTTCTCATTGAAAAAAAGTCTAACCAAAGCAGTCTAAAGCAGAGGATCACTAAAAGCAGAAGCTCAAATCACCCTATAAAGCTGAAGGCACTGCCACAGGTGACCTTTCCCAATAAAACAAGGAACTGTGCTCTCAGGAAACAGCTACTTCTGGAGGAGTGTTAGCTAAAACTCCAAATCAGGCACGCATGATTTCTAAACTGAAACACCCCTTCCTTCAGCATGAATAAAATGGTAGTGTGCATCAATTGATTTCTGTGAATATGGAGATGTTACCAAGATACTAAAGGAATGGTGGGTCTGTTCTAACATAAACGCTATCATGCTTCATGCTGTCAGGCTTCTACTTCGATTCTGAAATCACTGAGTGCTTAAGGTTAATTTGCAGGTGCAAGTGAAAAAGCAGCAGTGTCACACTGCTTGAGTACTGGTATAAACATTTCTCTTGCATTTAGAACAGAAAACTCTGTTGCCTACTATGATGTGTAAAAAACTGTGACAACTCAGAGAGGTCGCTAAGAACGGGAAGACAACTAATGTTACATCCCTCTGAGAAGACAAGAACGATCTTGTTAGATCTCAGTCCCTGGTAAGACCATGGAGCACATAATCTCGGAATTCACATCCAAGCATATAAAGGACAAGAAGGTACATGAGAAGTTGTCACAGACATACCAACAGTAAATCATGCTCGACCAACCTGACTGCTTTCTATGTGGGGTGACTGGCTTTCTGGAGAGGAGCACACAGCAGGTATCACTAGCACGGTTTCTGACATGGTCTCCCACAGCACTCTCACTTGGATGAGGATGGAAGATGAGGACACACGTGCTGAAGGAACAAGCCACTGACCAGACTAAAGATTAGCTGGACAAGCAGGCCCAAAGGGTCACAGATTAATGGCTTGAAGTCTGGCTGCAACAAGCCCAGAACCTTGCAGATCAGTGCTGAGGCCAGCATTGCTCAGCATCTGCACCAGCAGCCAGGCAGGGCCCATCCTCAGTGAGCCTGCAGATGACTGAATTGCATGGAGCACCTTACCATGATAGAGCTTCAGCGTGGAGGGACCCCGATCAGGATTATTACGCTTCATGAGGCTTCTCTATAGGTAACAAAATGAAGTGCCAAGATGTGCATAGAAGGTTGCATAACTCCACACCTCAAAGTTGGAGGAGCAGCAGCTCTGCTACAATAAACCTGGAAATTGTGGTGGGTGCCAGGTCGAACATGAGCCAATAATGCATTCATTGCAAAAAAGCAAACTGCACCATGACCTACATGAGCAAGAGGAACAGCCAGCAGCTGAAAGCAAGTGTGCCTCTGTTTGGCATCAGCAAGGCACTTGATTTCCTCTTACCTGAAATATAAAACTTGAGGCAAATGGGTAGGACAAATTTGTGCTCCCAGAAAGCAACAGAACAGTCCTACTTAAAAATAAAAAATTATAAAATAAAATAAAATAAAATAAAATAAAATAAAATAAAATTAAATTAAATTAAATTAAATTAAATTAAATTAAATTAAATTAAATTAAAAAAAAGATAAAAATAAAGGGAGGGGAGGGATTTCCAAATTATCAACATAAGAAATTGTACTAGAAAGACTTTGTCAGTGACCTTCTATTTCATGCTAAGCTTAACTTGGTATCCTTTTTTACATAAAAAGCAGTTCATGCAATGAAGTATGCAGAGGATTATTATAGTAAACCCTTCACATTTTTCTTTTGACCTTCAAACTTCCACTACTGGCAAAATATAAGTTAAGAGAAAAGTACTTCTAATTCCTGAAAGCACCACTAGATGGACACCAAAACATTTCTTCCTGTAATGTGGGCTGATGCTGGACATTTGATTTGAACATGCACAAGAACATTTACCTTTGTTGCAGAATAAAGAGTCAGCAGTGGAGTTGGATACATCCCAGCAGCTGAGGAGATATTCAGGATTACTCCTTTTGATCTGAAAAGCAGTGAAGATGTTACCATGCAAAAAAWTAAAAAAAATTCTTATTTTTCATAAAATTACTTCAAGTCTGAAGAAAATCTTTGGGATGCAAGTGATATTACAAAGAACTATTTTTAAAAACCCCAACCAAATTCTAAATTGAAATTTACTAATGTATTTTTCAAGCAGGACACAAGTATTCACAGTATAAGATTCTCTAAATGGAGAATAACTGCAAAAACCTATACAGCTACTTCCACTCAAGAGAACTGTGTTCTGCACGTACTTGGATACACTCAAATAGCTCTGCATAAAGTTGACACAAGTCTAAAAGGCAACTTTTAAGTCATGGCTATGGTGGCAGAGGCAGAAGTTGACTTTATGGTTTACATTTTGATAATCCCTTTCATAATGAGCCTGAGAAATTTCCAAACATACTTTATGATGGCACTTGGTTGGCAAGTATCCAAATCCAGTGCTCAAATGCCTCTCTTAATAGACAGAAGATACTCATTGGATAACTACAGAAGTTGTTTTATAGCTGTATTAGATTAATACATTTGGCATTACACAGGAATATTTACATGAAGGCAAGAATCTGACATTGGTTGACATATATCTGCCCTGCTAAGTATTTCCAAGTATTTATTCCAAATATTTCTGTCCAAAGTGCACACAGTTAGGACGGAAAAGAGACTCCTCAATCTTCCAGGCCACTGACTRGTGCAGAGCATGTCATTTTGTGCCTAGCTCTAGATACACAGAGATCCATGACTTGGTGTGAGGTAGCAATAAGAGCTAATTTAGGCAAGCGAGGTCAAACAAGTTGCCAAAGGTTGCTGGCGGGAAGCCTAGCACACTGAYAGCTGCTTCTCTACTCCCTATCCAACATTAAGCTCCACGTTTACCTTTGAGCACATGACTCAATAGTTCACGTTCACTGTGGGGTGAGAACACATACACACACACACACACACACACACACACACACACACACACACACAGAGTTGTCTTCCCACTGCACTGCTGCAGATTCACATACAAGTCTCCTCATAATACTTGTTCATCTCTGCATACCCGAAGCCACTGCTGCCACAACGATTTGAATGGGCATTTTAAAAACAAATGGCAAGGCTAAAGTGACCATTAAAGCTAGAATACAAATTCTTTGGGAGCCATTACAGTAGCTGCCACCAGGGTGGCTTCTGCCAGGATTCAAGAAACAAACCTGTGACTGATTCACATCCAGAACTGAGACCATTGACAGGACAGAGAAAGGAACCACTGCACAGTTATCCAAGATTTCAAAGCACCTTTGCCAGAGTTGCTAGAATTTTTCAGGAGTTATCTGCAAGGCTCAGCTGGTGAAGCAGTAACATGGATCAAAATACATGGTATGACAAAAGGGCCACAAACTAAGCATGAGTTTTCACAACATCAAAAGGTTAAACACCAATGCCAGAAGGTTTTCATATCAAGACAGGTGGTGCTTGTGATGTTTATTCATGAGCTCAAATGGAGATTAGCAGTGAAATTCAAAGCAGTTTTTAAGAGATTAACCAGATTGGAGAAAGCTGTAAAGGAACTTCTTTAAAGACCTCAGACTGCTATGTAAAAGGGCTACAGAATGGCAGGTGAAAAATATCAATTGTAACAAAACCAACAACACATACAAAGAAAATTATGTGAATTAATCACAAACCTGATTTTAAACCCTCTATCCATGCCCTTGAAAATCCTGAACACAAGTCAACAAGAAAATCTTTTGTGCAGCAGTCACCAAGGCCAGACAAAGATTGGGAGGGCAGGAATTGGCAGGGACAGATGTGGCATCATCAAAATTTTATATTTCACTTCCTACCTCTCCAAATGTACAAGAAAAATATTTAGAGATTGACTAAATGGAGAGAAGAGAAAAAAAGAAAACAAAGACCTCAGACATCAAAGAGGTGAAAAGATTGGTCCAATTTAGCTATTTAAGAGACTATTAAGAGAAGCCATGATAAGAACACACAGACTAATGAAAGAAAAATATCMAGGTCTTGATTCACTCATCTCATAATAAATAAATGTCATCTTTCTTTTGTAAGTGACAGACTCTGAAACTCAGATCCAATGAAAGGAAGTGCTCTTCCCATACACAGACAGACAGGAGTAATTGCCACAAGACCTAATTGAGGATGAAAGCTTAAGAAGGCCCCAACTGGGGTAAGTGTTTATAGGGCTAAACAGGAACCTCACGCTTCGGGGCACAACCACGAGCTGCAGCTTTCCAAGACAGGCTGGCACGCGGGCTGCAGGGCACACGCCAGYCTCCCAGCAGCCAGCCAGCCTAACTTCCCAGCAGGAGCAGTGATGATCATCTAGGGGCAAGGAATTACGTCTGATCCACTACAAGGGACTCTGGGAAGTGTTAGAAATTAATAGCAACCCCTTACAAAAGCACCGTGTACTCTTCTCCTCAATGCAGTCAACGCAACTGGGGTTTTCGAAAGAAAACAGCCCTAACCTTAAAAGCTCACAGCTTAAATCAACAGATAAAAGAAAAATCAAGATGTGTGGGAGAGGAACACTCCCAACCACTCTAATTACAGTTTTGCTTCTTTTCTGGAATTGCAGAAGAGATGTTTTCAGGGGTGCTCTGCAGCACGAGGGCTCTGGTGTGGCCAAGCCAGAGAGGATGGGCTACACGCACCTCTAGCATGGGCTACAAGCCCTCAAGCCGGCCAAGGTGACTCGGACTCGCCCCTGCCGCCCATTCCACCTTAAGCGGGCCGGCCAAGGGAGGCCACGTTTCTATATTTAGCCTGCACGGTTGCCGTGGCAACGCGGCCCGCTCCGCTGTATCCCGGTGGAAAGAGCAAGCTCCCTCCCGGATGCAGTGATGCACTTGTGCTTCCCCCCGAGAAACAGCCCAGCTGGGTGCTGGGCAAGAAACAAGCCACGGATTCTCCCTGCTCCTGGAGACACAGGGCGAGATTTAGTTCTGCGAGTCCCCCAGCTCCAGCAGCAGCCTGAAAACTTACAGAGGAAAGGCAGCAAAGTGCAACAGGAGGCACAGACTATAAATTGTGGTGTGAATGCTGGCAAAAGTGACGAGAGGAGCCACCGCAGAGAGCCTAAATGCCATCACTAGAAGCTGCTATGTTCATTGCAAATAAAAACTATCATCAGATACACCATACTACATGGTAGTGCTGTCCATTTACAAATCTGAACGGAAAATATGCCAAGTCTGCTCTCTACTTTTGCATATATCTTGTAATATACTGCTATAAAAGTAGCATTCAAAACCATAAATGTACACGCCACAGCTGCAAAACACTGCACTATAGTGGGCTCTGCTGTGCCTATGTCCTCAACAAGCCTTTCTCCTTGAGCAAGGAAGAATAACGATGGGATTCCCAGACTGGCTTTGTTTTTAGAACAGCCTGGGACCCTTTTGCCTAGCCTACAGTCCCACATGAGAAACTTACGGCTGACTGCAAAAGCTGCTAAGTGCTGATATCATTCATTCTTGTTCTTGGATTCACTGGACTTTAGGAGAGTATGCAGTCAAGAAAAGAAAGGAGAAAAAGAAGGCATGAAGTGATTTGCTCGAGGGTAGCTGGAACTAGAAGTCAGTGTGATTGTGGTTTACTGTCTTTCATTCAGATCATCTCATTCAGCCTAATGCTTAAAGAACAGCCTCTCTCTGTTTTCCTGATAAGCGAGATACACTATTCCTGTCCTGAGAGGATGAAGAGATCAACTCTGTCAAACAGATAACTGCAATTCTTTAGACAAAGGTATTTCTTTGGAAGATTTTAAGATGTTTCTTTAGACAAAGAACAGACACATGCAATAAACCATTTCAGTTTCAAGATTTCAAAGACATATAACATTAAACCTATAAAGCACAATGACTTCCATCATCATGTCTTCTCTGGACAGTGGTTTCATGAAAGRTGGGTCCCTGTCTGTGAACTACCGGACACAGTCAAGAGGTAGTTTTTGACTTGGGAACCCTGAGTAGCTACCATCTCTGAACCACGATGCTCATGCTGTGCCAGAGTTTTCTGGGACAATATTCACACACACATGAGCTCTGGGCTGCATCTTATTTTTCTAATTCAATTTTTTTCCCATGACATAAGCTCTTCTATACTTCCATTGCCATCTACAGAGTCTGAAATAAAAATCTACGTTCGRTATCTCCCTGAGTGAGAGCCTAACTCCTGCACTAGCAACTAGCTCTGATGTTTTTCAGCCATGAAGAAACTGCCATTTCAGACATGAAATATTTGCTCTGCACCTGCACAAGGTTAACATAAGTGAACCCTGATCTATGATGAAGACTCCCAGATAGCAGGTGATAGAATAAATAAATGCTTTTTAAGAATAAATAAATTCTATTTATTTATTATAGAATTTATTTAAATTCTATTTTAAAAAATACATGATTTATTTTTAAATCAACCTTTGCCAGACTCAGATGCTTGCTCCATACATGCTCTCCTCCCTGCCATTCTCCAGGAGGTAAGAGCACAGTGGCTTCCACGCATGGGTCTACGCGACTTGCCTCAGGTCTGCACCAGACATGACCTAGAACAACCCTCGGCAAGCCCGGGTTAGCACTGCTGCAGGGACAGCTAACATCACGGAGCAGGCAACACGACCTAGAAAACAGCCTGGAGGGACTACACGGAAACGCTGCATCTTGGGTTTCACCTGGGAGCTAGCTAGGAAGCCCGCACATGCCTTCAGCAGTGAGAGTGGTGTGCTTTAACTCTTATTTTAAAGAGCTGGTCTCTGATTTTTCTCTACCAAATGATCACAGCCTTTCCTCAATATACCTCCTACTGTATAATGAGGACATATTCTTTGCATCCATTTTACTTACAATGACTTAGAGAAATAGCCTTAAGAAGGTTATTCCCAGGAACCGTAACCACCCCCTCAGAATAGCAGGTTGTTGAGCTAGTGCTGATGAGTCAGACGGGCTTTTTAATTCTGTTCTAAAAGGAATCACCACAACAGTGGAGAAGGGAGAGGAAAAATAAAAAGGGAATCGAGTGGAAAAGGCTTCCACCATCTGATGATTCATGCACCACGAGCGTGACTCACCCAGCATTACTCTGCCATTAAAACATGGAGACTGGGCTGATTAGTCACAGTAATGAATTTTTCAAGAAAGGATTCTCCCCTATAAATAATGATGACTTTGTCTGGATAGTGTTAGTGTGACTCACCTTTCCAGCATGCCGGGCAGCACCAATCGTGTCATCTGCAAAAAGAAAACATTCGTGATGGCTGCGAAGGCAGCACCAGAGAGCCACAGAACAAGGGAAGCCTCCCTTCCTCCGCAGAGCCGCTGCCACCCCCGCCACCCCAGCCGGGCTCGGGGAAGCAGGGACCATACTTTGCGTAGGCAGTTTATTTTTATTCTACCTGGATAACTTGGCTCTGTCGAGCGATGTGTGCACTGAATCTGGCGAGCCAATCCAGCTAGTAACATAATGAGAGTAAATAAAAGTGTCTTCACCACTGTGCAGCCAGCATCCACGGCGTGAAGAGAACATCAAAGCACCCGAGTGCTTTAATAGTACACGTACCAGCATTTCTCTCCCCAGAAGGGTATCCATATTCTCAACATCTGACTCTAGTTTCTCACTTAGGCCAAGATTCAGGACAAAATCCAATACATTATAGCTCCTTTTTCAATCGTTGGTTTTAAGTAACAAAAAATAAATCGTGCAGCTGAACAAGAGGAACTTGTAAAGAAAAGAATTCAAGTTTTGAAAACTCACRCAATACACCTTACTGCTCAGATGCACATACTTGGCTTTAGAGAAACGGTGATTAAAGCTCACTAGCACTAACCTCATAGAAGCAGTTATTTATTAGACAGTAATCAAAATAAGTTCACTTCTGACCACACATGGCCTTTGTGTCAGAAGGTAGCACTACTGCAACACATAAACCAAAAAGCATTTGCCGGTCACTGTTGCAACAGGAGGTCTSAACATCCCTTGCAACTTAGGACAATCATTGTGTTATATCCTTAAAATGGGTTCCAAACTTCCTGACAAAATGAGGGGAGGGTAACAGAAAACCAAGGGCACCAAAACGCAGTTCTTGCCTCCTGCTCAAACTGAGCTGTCTTGATGGCTTCACATGTGGCTCGAGTCATGTGAGAAAAAACAGCACACACGGKCTGCAGGAGCATAAAAACCTGCAGACATTTGGTTAATAAGGAAACTAACTGGACTTACTACTACAACAAACTACACACATTAGTATCACCATCACATTATCCTGTGCAAAGGGGTGAATACGGTTATAATAAAAACATACCATTTTAGGAATAAAGGGAAAAAAAAATCAGAAGGAACACTCCAGTTGATGACAGCTCACCCCGAGGAAGGCAGAGAATGATATACTGTATTTTACTAACATTTCTCATGAAGACAGAGTTCCGTAGCATGGGAAGTGCTGCTGAGCTCCAGGAAGGGACCTGGCCTGCCCCCCAGCAATGACCAGTCCCTACTTTCACCAAGCCCTGTGGCACGCTCAGCTCCCAGCGCTGCAGCATGATGTCAAGCTAAGTGTTCGGAGCTGGTAAACTTAAAAAGATTCAATGCAGCTTCAAAAGATACTATGACATCAAAGTACGCGAGAGCCTTTTCCACATATTAATGTCAAAAGCAGATGTGAAACCCACTATTATTTCTCTTAATATTGATCTCCCATCAAAAAGCAGAGGGCACCAGGCCAAGGTTTTGCCCTTTCAATAGTTTTTCTGAATAAACTGCTGGTTTCTGCAGAAATACTTTTGAAGTTGAAACCATGAGTGTTCCCCAAACTACGAAGGCTYGGACCTGCTCTTAAATAGAGGTAATCTTAGCTAGAGTAACTAGATGCTACATATAAATTGTAGACTCAAAGGAAGCCTGTTATTTTTCTGAAAGTTTGAGCTAGCATCTGTTTGGAAGAGTATTCTTGCTGCTATAAATGGCCAATTGGTTAAATTATCAGTAGTCTACTAAAGAGTTATACTTGCACACAACCATGAAAGCGATGGTGGGCTTGCCTTCCCCCCTTCTTCTTTAAATTGATTTCACATATATGCTTACCAAACACTAAGCAATGCTACCACAGCATTTGGACTAGAGCACCTTCATTTTGGCAGAGAAAATGGACCCAGATTACGTTATTTTAAAATCAACCCTTCAAAACAAATGACTAACTTCAGATGGAGATGCATTACGGAGCATTTCATTCTTTTAAAGGCAACTGTCATTTCTTGATGAGCACTTATGTACCAGAGCACTTACTACATGCTTGCAAACACTGGCACAGTATGCCAAGTTGCATTGCGTATTGTTCTGTTCTGTTCTGTTCCAGACCCATCTCCAACCTTTGGTTTTTCCCAACCAAATTTGGGAAAAAAAACCCACTACCACTTTCACTCTAAGGTGCAGAAGCTCCTGATTCAGATACAAAAGTGCACATCCACACAGCTAGATTTATATTCTACAACGGGCAATATTTTTAAAGCTCCTAGTAAAGGACCAACATATGGTCTGAAGTTAGAGCAATCTATTTCCAGTGTTTTTTATTCAGAAAAAAAATCACATCTCCCACTCTTAGTGATCACAAAGCTCATAGTCCTTTCTCACTCTGATTTCAKCAATAGAGCAGGAGCAACCTTAGGTGAAGAAAACTCATTTTTAAAGTTTAGAATGTCTCAAAAGTGATCACTCAGATGACTATAAACAGTAGGAAAAAAATGATGTAAAAATTCAAAGTTCTCTCTCACATCTTATGTACCATATGTAAAGACAAAAACACAATACTACAACTCATTCACAGCAAAGCACTCTATAGTGAGATGTTATGACTACAAATTACTTAGCACTTTTAAGCTAGAACACTCTGGAATTAAGCCTACACAACTACAAGGATGAAGCTAGAGAATGTGGACAACTTTTACTTTATTACTCAACTAAAGTCTTTAAGATTTCACTCAAAAGCCTGGGATGAAGCTAAAATAGCTAAAAGCAATTTAACTTTTTAAAGGTAAAGGGCACACCCAGACACACAAAAGCACGATGGCTACTGGAAGGTACCTCTCGGTGCCTAACAAAGGGCTCCCAAGTTCCCAAGAGCACCAGCCAGTAAGGAGTGATGAAACAATCCCGCCTAAGCCTATCCGGAAAACAGACCTTCCTTCTATGAGCGTACACTGGGACTTGTGCACTATTAGAGTAACTTTCATAATCAATTTAATTAAGCCTCTATAATTAAGGTTTTATAATGCGTCTCTTGATAAAATTTGTTAACACATCTCACAGAACAAGCTGAACAAGAACGGTATATTTGTGAAAACTTACAAGTAAACCTAAAGGTAATGCAACAAAACTGATGAAAAAAAAATCTGTGTGGCAAAGTCAGTAACCAGAGAGGCACAACACATACAAATGGAGCCAGCAGTGTAACATATTGTAAGCCTTGAGCATCTTCAGTTACTTGCCCTTGAGCAAATTCTTGCCTACAGTGGTGAGCTTTCTCCATTGAAGTCTCATTTTTAAGTCTAACTAAAAAGGAAAAGCTTCTAAAATAAGCACTTTCCCCCCTTTATGTAGGAAAGGCTGCTCAAATAGGAGCACACTTTCTCTTCTCAAGACTTGGCTATTTGCCTCAAATCCAGATCTATAAAATGCTACAGAATTCCACATTTTCCTACACTTCACCAAAACAGCCAGAGTTTGAATTAAAAACTCTTCCTGCAGCATCCATCCATCCATCCATCCACCCATCCCCTCAATGTTTCCCTATCCCATCCTCCCGCCCACGGTGCTCCCAGGCCAAGGTAGCAAGGCAGGACACCACAGCTTCCCATCTCTCCCTCTGGACCATGTGAGTGACATTCCTGACCACCTTCACAGAGCACTTGCTCATCTTTAAGTTTTGGCAGCCACACATTCTCTGCCCATTACCAAGTCATTGATTTTACTATATATTCTACTAACAATCGTTCCTCCCCTGGTGATGATTATAACTTTGAACATAAATGAAGAGAAAGCTCCTGACTGGAAAAAAATATTTATATAAATACACATACTGACGTCTTCTCAGYGTTAGTCAGCGTTACCACTTCTTAGAATTGTTTCATTTATTACCCTCTCCACSACATGGTAAATACAGTCATTCATCTAGGGTTCCACTAGGGCACAACTGTCAACTGATTTCTGCTAAGGTGCCCTTGCAGGTGGGGCACTCAGATCACTAGTGCAACCATTTAACATCCATTTCCTGACTGTCTTTCAGCACTATCACTCCTCAGCTTCTTTTGTCTATGCTCAGGTTTGTGCAAAGGAAAATTAACCCCTCCTGTCCCTTCCTTCTCAAACATACCAGCTCATTCTCCCCCCTTGTCACTCTCTTTGTGTTAAGAAATTGTGTTTTTGTTTGTTTTTTTCTAATTCAATAGCTCTAGGCTTTGTGGACACTGTCTAGAGGTATTCCCTTGTCCTGTCTGGTATTCACACCATGGCTATAATACAWCTCCCCTTCCTCTTCCATTAAGAGGGCACCTAACACTATACGGCTTTCTCAGTTCAACACAGAATAYTTAAGTAATTTGAAGTCTTAAGCAAGTTAGTAGCTTTAGCTTCTCAAACACAGTAATGATAAAAATCCTATTTTGGCCTATTAGGCCTTCGTGTCTGCCTCTCCTGACATCAGCCTGAGACATCAGTAAGGTGATCACGGGAAAGACAAGTGCAGACAGTAAAGCACMTATGTGTATGTAACACACACTTCCCCCTTCTCTATTAAGGTCATTTTCCAATGGACCACATTGGCCCGCATGCTGGTTTATCTCCCCCTTACAACACAGTTGCTCCAAACCAMCTCAGCTCCCTGCTTAATCACCCACCAAGCCAGCACTCCCTCCACTAGTTAGTCCTGCTCATTCTCCCAGAGGACACAAGCTTACACCTGACTCCCAATGCGGTCAGCACATGCGAGGCTGCAAGCAGGAACAACCTACTTGCCRTTTCTCCTGTACTAAGCAACCCTTCAAACTTGTGCAGGAGAAAGGAGCGCTCCCCAAAGCGAGCAAGGCTTTCTCTAYGCTCGTTACCTATCCATGCTTTTCTTGGGACMGCAAGTCCGGCAGCTTTGGCTTTCRGTACACGAGATGAGTCCAGTCACACCAAGTTTAGCTGTTTGTCCAGGTGCAATCAAGAGCTGCAGTGGGCACGGGTGAACTRAGAGAGGCAGCTGCAGGTGATTCAAAGGAACTAGAGGAAACAATAGCCAGCCACAACGGTGGCTTTTCAGCATATGCTGGCTAGTGAAGGTCTTCTGACTTATTCCCAGTCAGAATTGTTTAGTTTGGATCCCAATAGAAAGAGACATCAAAAAATAAAATATTAACTGCCATTACCAGAACTGCCATCAGCATTCATTGAGAAAAAAAAAAAAAATTCAATCCCTGACCAGAAACTCAAGGTAAAATTATGGAAGTAGCCGTGAAATTGGCTTATCAAATTGGTCCTTGTGTAAGGCTGTATTAAGTTTACAGTTTTCTTGAGAAAATACCACAAAAGATTCTTCATTCTATTTATGGCATCAGGACCCAAGGCACTTCTTGTTTTGTATAGTACATAAAAAAACAGAATAACTCCTGTACTGTGCATCACCATAAACATAAGACATCTACAGGACAGCTTAAATTTTTTTTCTTTTAAAACTTGTTTGGGTTTCTTTATTTTTTTCCCCCCACTAAATACACTACTAACGCTAATTTGGGGGTAGCTTGTCTTCAGTAGTTTAAGTGGTGCCTTGAAAGCAAGTCACAGCAATAGGAACATTCATCCCCAAAATTGCAATAACGGGGTGTCCTGGGACTACCTCATTATCCTGCAGACACCACAAGGAAGGGGGCAGAGAACAGGATTTGGGGAAAACAGGTTTCCTGACAGAGTTTTTAAACAAGTCCTCAAAAGCAGGGAAAGTTGCACTGCATTAGATGATCCAAGGGTTAAACAGCACAACAAGCCAGATGGATAATTTATCTGAGCCACTGAGGATTAGGACTTATCTCTCCACATAGCCTCTTTTAAATGATGCACACTGGAGCCAGCTTCCAAACACACACACACACACACACACGACAAGGTGAAGCTGGTGGAGGAGCGTTACCCTTAAGCTTGGGTAGGTGGTAACAGAACAGCCCTCAAGGCCCTTGCAGACCCAAACTGTGCTGAATAACCCGACTCCCCCACTCGCAGCCTAAGGAGCGTTGCGGATGGAGCTGAAGTTGATGCGTTTGACAGGAGAGCTACACGAGGGAGGCGGCAAAGCGAGCGCTGCCGGGGCGCAGAGCAGGCTGCTGGGGCAAGGTGGGACTGCATCACCCTGGCAGCACCAASCACCTTTCCTTACACTCCCATTCTCAAAAAAAAAAAAAGAGAGAGAGAAATAAAACAGAAATGTTGCACAGATTTGTCCTAAAGTGCTTTTTTGTTTTTCCCCTACTATTACTCTCTATGGGTTCTCAAAAAAAATAAAAATACTTACAGATGGCACATATCTCTAATGTGCTCCTCTCCCCAAAACAGTAAGCAGCTGGCATGCCTACTGTTTAATTACACAACAGCCTCATGCAGGAGGAACATTTTCAAGCCTGGAAGCTTATGCTCAAACACTGATTATACCCAGGATCAGATGCTGTTCACAGTCAAGAAAAAGTTTTCAAATGAGGGGGAAAAGATAGAAAACAAAAAAAAMCCCTCACAGCCTACCAACACACACTGATCTCGCAGCAGCTACATGCTCCGTATATTTTCCTACGTGGGGAGACAAGCACGTTCATGAAGAGGCCGACACACTGCAAGTTTTAGCAGAAAGCTATGCTAAGTTAATAGCTGACGCCAGTGACGCCAGCCAGGAACACGGGAGCCACCAAACGGCACCAGCTCCTTGCGGAGGAAGCACCACAACCCGCTGCATGTTTTTCAGGTCCGCATGCAGCAAAGCGGGCCCAAGGCGCTCGTGCGGCCCGCCAGGGACAGGTGTTCAGTGCCTGGATGGCACTTCCCGGTTTTCTCGGGCGCCTCCGAAGCGCCGCGTTCCCAATCGGGGCGCTCCCTCTGCTGGCCCGCACGGCGCTCGCACCGCRGCCGCGACGCATCGCGGAGGCGGCTCCGGGACCCAAGCTGAACCCCTTCCATTCGGGCACGGGCTGGCAAAGGCTCTGCGGAAACTTGGACACAAGTTGGCAAGGTCTCTGCAAAAGGAGCGATTGATCTGCTTCTGGCAGCAGCACCCTGATGTGCGCGGTGCCACCCGGTCACACAGCGGCTGCCTTGTTCACCGTTTTGCTCCTACCTTAATTAAGTGTGAAAAGTCTTACAGAAGAGATGTTTCCAAAGGTGCCTCCTCACACAGAAACTAAATGACCAGAGAGCCTCCCAGGCAGCACGTGCTAGAGGAATTTACTACTCTACCTAATATGAACAGTTGCAAGAAGTAAAATCTTTCAAGTCAGCTCCAAAATGGCTAATATTTTTGGCTTCAAGGCAAGAAGTGAGCCCCAAGCTACTGCAGATACAAGCTTATTCTCACACGTCAGAGAACAGTAAGCTTTAGCAGTGAAAAGCCACGAGGGTTTCTTCAGCATTCTTGTGTAATGCACTCATTGATGTCCCATGCCACACAATGTTATAGCTTTAAAATAAATGGCTGATTTTTTTTTAATGGACCTCATTTGAATAAGGAAACAGTGACACGTTTAGACACAAGTCACACTGAAACTTGAAAAACTAACGATTTACAAGAACAACTAAAATCAGGAGCATGAAGGAGCATCAAGTGTTTTGTGCTCATTCCTTGCTCTTGTGAATAGTAAGTACCTTTATTAAGTTTTATTAAACTTAATTAACCTTCATTAAAATTTTATTTTATGCAATAATCAGGACAGACTGATAAAAACAGAATCATAACCCTTAGCTTACTCTAAGATGAAAAACAGAACTGTTCCCATAGGTGAATGCTATTTATTCAARCAATCAAATCTGAAATATTTATTGGTTTTGAATTAGTAAGGCTTCAAGGACAAGTGTGGGTAACAGGGCACTTACCTTACAAACGGACATGACGTTAATGTTAACCATTTTGTCAATTGCCTGCAAGAGAAAAGGTTGGATTTATTTGTTATTTGATCAGTATTTTTTATTTGTTCTTGCATGTGCCAAGATACATTAAATATTTCACTGAGATCATCCACATTTGCTCCCTTCTCCTCCTACTTAGATAACAGGAGCAATGACTAACTTCAAGAATACAAACTCTGAATTGTTCTTGGTCAAGTTTTGGTTTTGACAAAGCATTCTTTCTAATAAAAAACAACACAGATTTATCACATAAACAATGTCTTCTCCTGCAGTTATCTGTACTATTCCAGAACTGTGATATATTGATATTTTAAACACGTTCACCATAAAACCCCCAAATTTAAGAACATATTCTCTGACTGTATTTGCTCTTCAACATTTTATAACACCCGTACTTAGTTTACTCATCAGATAAAAACTGTTCTTCTGAAAAGTACTACGTAGCTTATCTGGAGGTAAACTGAAAGCACAGGTACATCTCCTAATGCTCTGGTCGAAGCACAAAAGCAGAACAGACCAACACTTAGCTGTGGGTGTCTTTAGATACAAAAAGCAGCCACAAGGGAAAGCATTCAAACCCACAGATTCCAAAACCAAGAGCATCCCTAAATGAAGACGGAATTACAGCAGCTACAGTATATTTAAACTCATTACAGCATTCTAGCATACGCAGTTTCCATTCACGTAGCTGCTTACCTCTCCTGCAGAAATACCTCACTAGCTAAAAGGAATCACAGAACAACAACGTCCGGATGAGATCATAAAGAAGATGGGTCAGATATTGACATCAGAGCATCTGTCTAAAATAGATACACTCTTCTGTACTTCAATTTCTGTATTACAATATTACAGGAAAAAGTCCAGGCTGCCATCAAATGAATTTTGCTTTACTACTCAGATCCTCTTTGCCTTTTGAGTCTCTAATTCTAAATCAAAAAGCCCATTTAAGCAGGTACCTTCACAAATCTTGGGTCACACTTTAGTCGTGTATAATGACTGATTAGTGCTAACAATAAGAATCCCCAAGGTAACACAAAACACTTACATTATCCAGGTCTGGAATATCAACAAAATATTCGGGATAAGCATACGAAATTCCCACGTTGTTGACTGAAATAGAAGAAACAAGTCGTATTGAGAACAGCTGGATGGTATCTGGCTTCTGACACTCTGATTCATGAGAACTTCCAAGCACCAGATTAAAAACGTTGCAGTCAAACATTCTAGCTCGATGCAACAAGCTTCCTCATCTGCAAACACACTTGTATGCACAACTGGAAAGTGAGAAAGAATAGGCAAGCCCTTTTAAACACATAAATAGTAATAGTGAACATCTAAATCCTGGCACATTTAGCCCATCTTCCATTGCTTCTTACAACATAGCAGAAGGATTTTTTTTTTTTTTTTTTTTTTTTTTGGAAATGCCAGGGCGCACCGTTTAAACGTATAAGATGCAGTCACAGATGGAGCTGAGCCCAAAACACCCGCCAGTACCTTGCAACACGTGAAACTGTTTGAACACTGTCCTTTCAAAAATTTTTTTAAAAAAGAGGAAAAAATAGGAAAAAAACCCCACAGAGCAAGTTTCCTCAACACTTTTCTGGGACACTTCTCCTCTTGCTGGCATATTCCAAGGCCTGCAGACCGGGAGCAGCCTGACACCCAGGCCATGGCCCTGTGGAGGCCGCCATCCATCATGTCCCATCCCATCCCATCCCATCCCATCCCATCCCATCCCATGCCATGCCGTGCCGCTCTGGGCCGAGGGCGGCCCGGGAAGGGAGCGGCTGCTCGGCGGCGCCTCGGCAGCCGCGCGGGACGGTAGGTGGCAGCAAGAGGCCGGGCCGCCGCGCGCCCGAGCGGCCTGTGCGGCGGGACGAGGCGCCGCTCGCCCGGCGTGCGGGAGGCCGCACGTCCCCACGGCCTCGGCGCACGGGGCGGCCTGCGCCTGTGACAGGGATGCTCTGCGTCTCGACATGGCTTCTGGTTTGCCTGCACTGCATTCCTAGACTCTGTGCATGGAGATTCACCACGGCCAACTGCTGTCCTGCTCACCCCATGCATGCCCTTGGGATCTGGGCAATCTTTGCCTATTGGCAGCATCTAAAAATAATCAACCCAATGAAWGCATTAATTGCTCAAACCTCTTTTTTTTTTTTTAATATTTTTCTCTCAGTGCATCACTTGAGAGCAGCAAGGTTTTGCTCTCAGGCAAGAAACACTCATTCTCTAATCTCCATACAGGTAGTGGAAAACTTCTACTGTCATTAGGAAAGAATACAGCTCCATAGGCACAGTTTCTTCAAACTTAATAAAACACACTGATTTGGAGACAGAAAACACACACACACACACACACACACACACACACACACACACACACACACACCAGCAAATGGGATCTGTGTTTCCTAAGGATCTGTTGCTCATCTTACGCAAGTGAGTCTTGTGACATTCGGTTGCTGTGGCAACATTTTACATTTATATAGTGTCTTATTATGCCCCAGAAAATCCCCAAGTGCTATTTACATACACATTGAACRCCGCTGTTCAGCTCCAGCGGAGAGGTACACGTGGGAAAGGGGGTAAGAAGCAAGGTCAAGAACATTGGTGCATTCTTTCTACTTTTTATTTTTTAAATAGCCTCTAAACCTCTGTCAAAAGTGACCATTTTAACATCCAACCTGTAAGATATTTAGATATCTAAAGACATTCAACATGTGCAGGAAATGTACAGGAAAGTCCTGGCTAAAGTTCATAAGCTTAATTCAGAGATCGTCTCAAGTGACAGCTTCTTTAKTCAGGATCTCTTGCTCTATTTACAGGAGCCCCTAGTAACACGTGTTAAGTTTTAACTTTTAAATAATCTTAAAAAGTATCAGGAATTGATGAGAACAGGGTCTTGGCAAACTCATGGAAGACATTTAGTATATCTGGGAACAGATTAAACTTCAAAGGAGAAAGCCTAATCTTGCCATTTCAAGAATAAGCCAAAAGAATTTCTCCTATTTTTCATCCTGAATGAAAGCGTTTTTCAGTCTGTCTCCGTAGAAAGAATTTTGGCTATGAGCAGTGACAGTCTGGGGACAATCCTGGGCGATTCCTCCAAATTCAGCATATTTCATGACTCATGCTACAGAGATTGTAACACAAAACTCACACTTCTTTCTAGAAACTGGATGCCAGACACGTACCCTTCCAGCTTAAGCAATCTTTTTCTCCCGTATCACATTTTGCTGCTGTTTTGAACTCAAAACAAATACACATATGTATAGTTCTCAGTCTGCATAGGTATATTTTACCTGGACAGCACAAGATGTTAAATTTCTTTTGAGTATCAGTGATTTAAGAACAGCAGGGGAAGGATTTCCCACCTCTGCCTGTTTAACATATTGCTGTAGCTAGCACATGTTTGAAGTCACTGACAGACGCTGTTTTGAACACACAGCAAAACATTATGCAAACTCTTTTAGCCTTCCTACATGGGTGAGGAGAAGCTTCCAAATAGGAAGTTTACAAGAACTTCARTCTGTAAGTAATTTATATAGCTGCAGAGAATCTAACTCATGAGAAGCTCAGTCTCGTGCAGTAGATAATGAAGACTCCCGTGCCTAAATACAAGACTACTGCAGATAAGCAACTATGCTACCAAAAACGCCATCAATCTAGGTGAGAACCAAGGAATAAAATGCACACTAACCCAAGTACTTACTGGTGTGGTGATGTTTTCATTTCAACCCATATTTTCTCATGTAAATGTGCAAAACACAGATTAGCAAAAGCTATATACTGGGTTGTAACAAATGCTGAAGAACTTAAAATTTAAGGCACTAAAGCATGAAATTAATTGTCATTAAAAAATTAAGATACTGTCTTTCTAGAGTAGCCATAATCTGCGTGAAGAAATGAAATGGACAAGTGGTTTCAATAATACAGCTACAGCTGGGGAGTAAAGCACTGACTCAGGGACACTGATGATCTCAAGCACAAGGTCTACTAAAATGGCCAGTGAATATTTCCACTAATTAGAAGAGAACCCTGTAAACACTCACTGGCGATGGCTACAAGAAGAAGGAAAGGAACTCCACTAGAGAAWACACAGCTCCTAAACACTTAGTTGCTATTTTTTACTTCTAGTTACTAGGTTTTTAGTCAAGCTATTCCCATAAATAAAAGACAGAACCAGGCTCTCCTTGGGGAACGTGTTTGGTTTTCTAAGCTTGGCCAAATCTCCAAACCCACTCACTGCTCTMGTTCCCTCTCTGGTCAAGACTATAAGAAGTCAGAATTGCATGATTCTGTATATTCATTAGAGCCTTATGATAGTTAAATAAAAACAGCTTTCAGTTTTGATGTGCACTTCACAGTAAAAAGCTTGCTAGCATTTTGGGAAATTTAAGTTGATCTACTACTGTTCTGTAGCAACTACTGCGTGACAGGCAACTTGGATTCTTACATTTGAGTTGATTTTGACAGGACAGATTAAACATTAATTCTAATCTTCAATGCAACTGCTTCTTTGTGATTTATTTCCCTCAGAGATAAAAAAAAATAAGGCATTCACATTCACAGCTTTACTATTAATTTTCTTTACTCAGAATGCATTGTGGAGATGCTCTGGCAGTTATTACTCTTTTAGGCGGATTTGAACTATTTCAGCACTTAAATACTGGACATCATGAGTTGCATGTACCACAGTGTCTCAAAAAAAAGTTTTAGGGAACATTCTGGGCTTTATCCTTCAATCAAGTTATTTTAAAAATGAGTTCCAGCCCCAATTAGCTGTCTGGAACAAGGACTTGACAAAATGGCATGCAAATCTGAACTACAAGTCTTTAAAAATCTCAAGCCTTTTGTTCATCATCAGAGGTTCTCACCCCTACATACAGAAATGCAGAAATCTAAACTAAAAACTTCTCACAGAATCACAGAATGGTTGAGGTTGGAAGGGACCTCTAGAGATCATCTAGTCCAATCTTCCTGCTCAAGCAGGGACTCCTACAGCATGAGACATCCAGGTGGGTCTGAAGACCTCCAGAGAAGGAGACTCCACAACCTCCCTGGGCAGCCTGTTCAGGGCTCTGTCACCCTCACAGTGAAGAAGTTCTTCCTCACATGCCTTTTGAAGCAGGAGTGACTTGATTCTACATTCTAGTGATTAAATTTCAACAGTTGTGTAATTAATAGTTAGCAGTTTTCCCACAGGGCTTTACTGCTAAGCTGAAATGAACTATCTGGAGCTTGCTTAGATTTGTGCAGGACATTAGGTCAGGTAACTGCGTGTGCAGTCCTGAGCAAAAAGGGGCCCTCAACAACACCAGAACATGTCAAAAACACTGGGCAAGCAACACAGCTCCGAGAACCTAAGCTCGTGTGCAAGCACCACCTTGTGTGTGTGTGTGTGTGTGTGTGTGATATGTACCCAGCAAACAGTGACCTGGTTTAGTGAGGCCGTCTACCAGCTTTCGGAAAGGGCTTCCAATGCACTCTAATGGGGGAAAAGGTTAGCTGGCACATCCAGACAAAAACCTCAGTATGAAAGATGGAGAGAGCGGATACAAACCTAGAACGCCAATCTCCAGGCCTTCCAATCCCGCTTTGATTCTATTGTAAATATCTTCTCTCTCTCCAAAGTCCGCCACAATAACTGTTGTTTCCACTTTGTACTTCTCCTCTAAGGGGGAAAAAGAAAGTTTGACAAGGTTGCATATTCAAATGTTAAAGATATGTCTGTTGGTAGGGTTTAAAAAAACAGTAACAAGTAGACAATATTATGCAGTAATATTTTCATTTCTTCAACATTAGTCCTTAATTTTCATATGAAACCAGTCTGCAACAATAAGCAACTTCTGTCAAGAACATTCTAAATCTCAAATGATTCAGCCTATTTGGTTCATAAGGGACCACAAAGACGGCAAGAAAACAAGTTACACACATGCACACAGTGTTCAAGTACAGCTCGACAAGAACTTTTCCAGTTTAAGGAAAACAACAAATGAGTTGCTGCAGACCAAACAAAGCACTTGTGTGTATTTTGAGTATTTAATATCTTGAGCATAATGACCAAAGGAAACATATGTGTGAGCAGCAACAGCAGAGCTGCAAGTCTAATGATTCCAGCCCTCCTGAAATACACTGTCATCGTCATTCTTGGCAGGCCAGGAAACACACATACGGACAAATATATTTTGAAGTGAAAAAGCATTAAGAATGCCTCCTATGAGAAATARTGCTGTCCCCATCAAGGCAGATTCATTGCATTTAATTAATGTCCTCTCAGGCTTCGAAAGCACGAGACGGTCACTCGGCACTCAGGGATCTGGGTGTTCTCCCGCACCCAACCGCTACCTTGGCGCTAAGGAAGCCGCATTCACCTCGAGAACCGTTTCACAGCACTTCACCCCCACGGCCATTCATAAAAGCAGTGTCAATTTAAAGGAGAAGAATCATTCACAAAAAGATTAGAAGCAGCCAGATTCCCGTGATGCTCTTTTCCATTCAAGGGAAAGCAGCGACTCCCCTGACTCCCTCCTCCATTCATGCAGAATCATGAATCTCCCCAACGCTGGCTCCGCCGGCCGCCTCGGCCCCCTCCCCACAACAGCCCTCATGGCAGATGAGATTATTGTCCTCCTCCTTCCCCCTTCCCCACCCGCGAACGCCTCATCTCTCAGGAGCAGCTGCATTGTTTAAAAATCCCCTGGGAGATGTTGCTATGTCAAATGACGACGTAAATAGCATTAAGCCCCTACTGCAGCAGCGGTCTTGTGATCGCGTCAGAAGAAAATCGAGTCCAACGTGTTTTTTCCCCTTTTTTTTTTTTTTTTCCTGGGGGGGAACGGTGGGGGGGTGGCAAGGGGAATAGAGAGGTTCTATTTTTGGACACAGCTGTTCTAATATTTAACATACACATCTGAATTCTTACAGGAGAGTGAATTTAAGGCAACACTACATGAGATGTGTGCAAGGGAGCCGGGAGGGCAAACGCAGGAGAGGGAACATTTCTGCACACATGCCATTTGCTCCTGTTTTACAGTATCTGCAGCTGCCTCCGCTGATATTCAGATGCCTCATTAAATCCAATTTTTTTAAAAGGATTCCTCCCCTCCTCCAGCTTGCTCAGTTTTTACTGGCCCCTTTAAACATAATACTCATTAGGATTGCTACGAATTTATCCAAGATTTTCTAAATCATTAGAAAAATAGRGGAAAAAAAAATCTGAAAACCAAATTCTACATATATTTTGAAGTTCTCACACCACTTGCACCACAACACCCATTGAAAAGCCAGCTAAAACCAGTACACTTACACTACCTACACGAGACACCTATAGGTGCATGCAGCACCTCTGCAGCCTGAGGTCGGGTAGTACCACAGATTCAAAATACGAGTAGTGAGAAGTTATCGGCTCTGTGCACCGCGGGGCTCTCCTGCCCGGCAGGTTCCACACTCCGGGCGAGCTCCACGTCTCCTGACGCTGTTCGGGGATTACGCAGCCCTGAGGAGCCCCTGCCCGGCTCCATAGCCTGCAGCACGAGGAGGGCCACGGCACCAGGGAAGGATAAGAAGATAGATCTGCTAAAACAGCTCTAGGTAAATGATGAGGCAATGAGGCAAGTGATAGCACCAATTGGTCCCGCCGCAGCCCCTGCTCGCAGGCACCAGGGCTCAAGGGTGCTCTGCCCTGCAGGAGCAAAGGGACAAGGACATCCTGGGATCCTGAGGAGGACTGTGCTGCCCTYGGGCAGCCTAGAAAACACAAGGGCACGTCCTTGTTCTCTCGGCCTTTTCTCTATTCCGCTACCTGGAAGTGGACAGGCCTCTTCCTAAGCCAGGGCATTAGCAGTGACTGCACTCTGCCCTACTCAAGGGCAAAAAAAMCGAACCTTCTTGCAAGAGACTTCAGCTTGTAGGCCCTAAGGGAATCCGTGGAGCCACAGGTAGCGTGGGGAGGAGAGCAAACCAGCTCGGGCAGGCAAAAACTCAAAGATCTGAAATGGCTGATACTGCCAGAGTGTCCAGGGTGCCGGGTGACCCTCGACAAGCAAGAATAATGATCTGTGATTGCAACCAGTATTTCAACTGTCCCTCTTTAGGAGAGGGCTGAATACTGCAGCACCAAGTTACCAGGCACTCTGCAGCAGTCACCACCTACCTATTGGGTCTCAAACTTGGAAAAAGGTTCAGCAAAGGTTCACATACCCAAGATCTGAAATGCCATTGCACAGATGGTCATCCTCATACTTCTTTTCTAAAATTCTCAGGGGAAATCAGTACTGACCCTACAAGTAGATTTAACCTCCATTTCCACTTGACGAGCTACTCTACAGGGCTTGTTCTGACCCTTAGTCAAGGTTTCTAGTAACTTAGCAAGAGAGCAACTTAGTGCAACAGGAGATGGGTGGTCTAATAAGAGACGACATCATCTTCAACAGTTTCCTTCACAAGTCATCTAAACACCCTTTCATTTGCCAAATAAGCTGTGATGCACAAGAAAAGCCCTTACAAAACATTTCCATGGCTAGGAGAAGGTTGAATGAACTAATAATCAGAACAAGGATAGAGCTYGGCCTGAATAGTGACAATATTGAGCAGAGACCCTATGACAGGTACATCCAGGATCAAGAGATAAAATTCCACCTTATATCATGATTCCTGGGAATCATCATTGCATGCCTATCATTTGCTGCTTGGGAGTAAAACCGAATCCAACTTCCTGTTTTGCTGGAAGCATGACTGATGGGCTGTTCCAGACGTAGGCAACGTCCCCATTTCCTGGGAAGCGCCGGGTCCATGTTTCAGAGCGGGCATGGAGCAGAGGAGGGCTCGAGGCACGGGATGGCCCAAAACTCATCTACACGTTATATCAAGCAGTGATACTCCTGGATAGGAAATTGGCAGTACAGCACGCTCTAGGCAAAGACTTATGGAGAGCACTTCTTGGACATGTGCATCTTCCTCAGGCAAAGCAAGCATCTGTTACTTGGATCAGAGGATGATATAGATGTTGTACAAGACAAAAAGCCAAAACAAGCTTCCGTAGAAGATACTGACAGAGATTCTTTAAAAGACACAGAGAGCAACCCAAGAACAGTCAGACCACATCCCAAACCAATAAGGCAGAATACAAGGCACATTAGAAGACAAAACTGAAAAAAAATCTCACTTTTTCCTCAAGGGGAATGGAACATACATCCCTACACAGTATAGGATGAGAAGAACTAACAAAAATAGATGTGCTTTACCACAGACTTTCCATATATACACACACACGCCATCAGAAATAAACATTTTTTTGAGTGATTATCCATAAAAACACTACTTGGGTATCCCCAGAAAGCGGACTTGCAGCGTGTCTCTCACATTGTTAGGGCACTGTTACTTAAAAAGAACAAAGACTTAGGTGGCCATTTTACGTCAGCCCACAAGTCCACCTAAGCAAATACTCACTTTCTTGTGGCAGACACTGAGAGAAGGAGCACAAAGCAATTAGGGAAGTGCATAACAATATTTCCTTAAATTGTTACCCCAACCTCCAACACTCAAGCTCCAACAGYTTGTTACTCAAACTTCCTGAGCTGGAAGTGTCTGTCTGATGGCCTTTAACAGAAGCTTTCTCCACTCTTCTATAACCACTTTGCACCTTTCCCAACTTCCAGCACCCACTGCACCCCTTTGCTGCTGAACCTGCCACGAGCAGAACTCATCAGATTTCAAAACAGTGTATTCATGCTCACACCAAKTGCTCCATATGGTTCAAGATTTTCATTTGCTGCTTCTTCCTCAGCCCTAACTATTTTCTTTCCCATTCCTGTCACTATGACTTGATAGTGCATTGATACTGAGTTGCTATCACTTAAGTGGCAACTTATTTTCATTCTTTCTGAGCCAGAGGACACCCAGACAGATGTTAACGTTTCCTTTTGCTCATTTTCCAGACTTTTCAATTCCCTAAGTCAGACTTCCTGGAGGCATCTTCTAGATTTTTTTCAAAAACTTGAATCTGCCCCTTTCTGCTTTTAAAAATCTTATTCCAAAAAAATTCTCACAAGCTTTAGGAAAGTGGAAAGGAAATGGGTGGAGAGAGAAGAGGAGAAAAAAAAAAAAGCCCCCTCATCTCCCTTTTTCCTTCTATTTTCCGTCTAAGAGGTCCCCACTATAAGGAATTCATGTACACTTACTCTTTAAAAAGAGTAATAATGCATAATGCTGTGTCCAGATACTAATAATCTTCCTAAAATCTTTCTTATTTCTTATTTTTCTTATTTTTATTCTGCCTAAAGTCTATGGAAGTTTTAACACACAAAAGTTTGATTAGAGACTGTCTGGTATTTTAAAACCAAAGCAAGCTGGCAAGCTCAGGATGTTCATTGAAAGGATACTCATGTATTCATGCATGATTTAAGTCATCAATATTTCATAGAAAAATAATATCTGCTTACGCAGATGTGACACCACCGTTTCCTTGCAAAGGCCCAGGAACTCCAAGCATGAAGACCCTTTAGGAGGACGTTTCTGCCCGCGAGGCCCCGTTTATGTTGTGGAGGGCAGCAGCAGCTCCAGATTCACCACGAGGTCGGACGCCGGGAGCCAGAGCAGGGCCAGGACACGCTGCGGCGGGTGSGCGCTGCCCAGGGCACAAACACCTTGGCCGGGGGGCAACCAGCAGCACTC